CCCTCCCCCCCTCCAAGCCCATCGACGCCGACGTCCCGCGCACCGGCACCCCGCTGCCCGAGCCGGAAACCGAGGACGACGACCCTGCGGTACCGGTTCCCGCAGGCGCGAGCTGTCGAAGGCGGGGGTGCGGGGCGGTATCAGACGGGTCGACGGACGGGAAGAGAGAGGGAGAGGAGTGTCGCCATCATCCGGGCGCACCGGTGTTCCATGAGGGCAGCAAGGGGTGGAGTTGCTGCAAGCGGCGGGTGCTGGAGTTCGATCAGTTTGTGAAGATCGAGGGGTGCGCGACGAAGGGGCGACATTTGTTCGTGGGGTCAGGGAGAAAAAAGAAGCAGGCGGCGAAGGCGAATGAGGCGGTGGCGGGAGGGGAGAAGGGTGAAGACGGGGAGGGAGAGGTGTTGGAGGCGGGGTCGGTGCGGAATGATTTCTACCAGTCAGCGATGTCGTTGACGTTGTCGTTTTATCTGAAGAAAGTGCGGAAGCCGCCGGCGTCGACGGTGGAGTTCACGGGGGAGGAGATGAAGTTGGATTTGATCACGGAGGATGGGAAGCGGTATCGGGAGACGGTCGCGCTGTTTGCGGAGGTGGTGCCTGAGGAGTGCGAGGTGAGCATCCGGCCGTCGAAGGTGGAGATGGTGCTGAAGAAGAAGGAGCCGGCAGCCTGGCCAGGGCTGCGGCAGGGAGATGCGAGTAAAGGGGAGATATACCAGGTTGGGAAGGCTGGTAGGGCTTAGACTCATCGCTTGGATACTTTAGACGACGTTGGCAGTAGGTATAATAGATTTGGACCGTCTAAACTGTATATCGATATGTATCCTACTCGTATGCCCTGCTTGACATATCGCGAAAGCCGACTAATACGATAGACTGTGCCCGCATACAGCGAAACTCAATGAAGGGTAAAGCAGCTCTATAGCTTTGGCTTCCGCTTAACGAGACCCATCATCTTATCTAGGTACCTGGCGCTCATCGTCCTCTTCTCCCCATCCGACAACCGATCCCACTCCCTCCGCGACGCCTCTTCGATCACGCGATAGCGAGCCACCTCCTTCCCTATCCACCCCATCGCGCGATCCGCCGTTTCCCCAACTTTCTCCATCGGAATCAAATGCCCGGTATCCTTCAAGATGACGTGATCCACCCGCCCCTCCGCTACCCCCCCGCTTCCTCCAACACCAACGCCAGTGATGGACAGTTTCTGGTCCCGGAACTCTGGGGCCGACAGTGCGGATTCATCGCCGAAGACGTAGAACACGCTGGGACGGAGGTGCGGGAGGTTGTGGTAGGTGATGATCGGCTCCGGGCGATAAAAGGGGGTTTGGGGCATGCCGGTGGGGGTGATGTCGGGGTGTGTTAAGCGATTCCAACTGGGGTCGGCTTTCTCGATTTTCGTGTATGATCCGTGGACTTGGGGTGTATTTGGACCGAAATTTGGTCTTAGAAACGTGAATACCTCGTGATGTTTGGTCGTGGTCAGCGTCACTTCCTTCTCGGGCAGCGGCGGAGGCGTGAGGGTTGGCTCGACCGTAGTCGGCGCGACGTGCTTCAGCGTTCGCTCTGCCGTAGGGGTCTCCTCATAGAGGACGGTTGGGAGCTCTCGGAAACCATGCTCGATCCATAGATTGCGAACCCGTGGGTCCCAGGTGCCGTAGAATTTGCTCTTTTTCACTGACGCGGCTGCGACTGCTCTCGACGGCCACCGGTCTCTTCGCCCGGCAGAAGCGTTGGCTGGCTGGTAGTTTCCTGATGACGAGGAGTACGCTTGGATGACGGGATCAATGAGGATCAGTGATTCAAACAGACGTGGATGCAGCAGTGCTAGGTTTGTGAGCTGGCATCCGCCCATCGAATGGCCTATGCCCATCATAGGCCTAGGCATCTCCTTTCGGAAGTGGTTCACCATGCCAAGTAGGTCTCGGCTGTGGTCGAACCATGACGCTGCAATACGGGTTAATCTCGATAACCCTGATGATTATTCGGTTTGGACGTACGATCATCGCCCAGTTTGCCTTCATTCAGGACACCACTATACCCCTGCTGCGAAACATCTGCGGCCCAGATATTTCGGATCCGGATATTGGCTGCTTTGGCTCTCTTGAGGAGCTCGTCCCATAGCGGTTCGTACAGCTCCTGAAAACATATTAGATATGCAAGACAGGTGTCTCTGAAGCAAAACATACCTTTGGAAAGCCATTTGCGTGGGCGCCAATGATGGTCAAATCCCCAGGTTGTGGCTTGAGGTTATCCAACGGGGTGTATTGCTTGACATGGAGGTGGCATATCTCATCATCTTTAATTGCGGCGTGCGGGTATCCGCGGATATGTTGACATGGTACGGAATGTACCTGGACCTGGAAGTATTTGGAGGACATGTTCAGGGTGTGTAAGGAGAACTCTGGGGGATATTATATCAAGCAATGGTCAAGAAGGGACTTCAAGCGATATGGCGACTTCTTTACGATCGGATTCAACGCCGAGCATTCACCAACCCTCCATTTCCAGCCGAACACGGCGTTCGAGGTCGACGAAGGCGTATAACAGCCGACGTAATCCCCAAGTCCAATGCCGAGGTCCAGGAGAGTATGGGGCAACACAGATTCTTTCTCGACCTATGTAGCAGAAGTTCAGGAGATATCAGAATTCTCGAATGGTGCGAACCAATGTCAAAAGACTGATTCAAGAATTATTTGTAGTTGTTGATACGAAGATTGGTGACTACGGAGGTTCTGAAGCTGGTATATAAATGCAATTCCGTCATTCCCGCGATGGAAAGCCGAGACCGCGAGCTTGGATTGCTTGGTCCTGGATACACGGCAGGAACGACCGGCTCGGCACGCCCTGAGCACAGCCACGTTGCGGGGATGACACAACAGCGTGCAGTCATGAGTCAGCAAGCCACCAGTCCACCAGAATCACTGCCAACTGCCAAGCACCCAAGTCAAGGTGTGGCTAGTACCGACGCGTCGCTGTGGCGCCAGGAACTGATTCCTGTCTGGACTGCGTGTGCGACGCGTCAAGGCTCTACACATGCAGATTGATATCTGGCCACCAGACAGGCAGAACCCAACCACACAATCAAGAAAGCCCGAGGATTGCCACTTTTCTATTAAATTCTCTCTCTCACAACTGCTTTTCGTATGCAATCCTGTTCATAACAGATGTCGGTGGTCATCTCGTCGCTGTGTGGAGCTTTTTCACGACGCTGAAACCGGCGTTGTCCGTGGTACCGAAGTTAATTCGAGGGCCCATGAACGAGGATGCAATGTCGGAGATTCGTGTTCCTCAGATCTTCGCAGACTTGAGAGTCTCCATCGTCCCGAATGAGATCCCAGAGTCAGAACTGACCGATGTATGTGGGATGAAGAATGCGTACTTCTGTAAACTGAATCGTTGCAGCTCGAAGTGCTCTTGGAGACATATGGTGCTGATACTGTGCCTTATGGCACTGGACCCGCTGAGTTGAAGGACCTCCTCAAATGCACTCACATCGTGTCCGGATCCATTGACTTCCCGGAATATTATGCTGCTCTTGACCGGGTCAAAGCCGTTGTGACGCCGAAATGGGTGAAAGACGGCATCAGAAAGACCAAACTCTTACCAGTACGCCCATATAGTCCCGATCCAGCCCTCGTTCTGCGCGATGTCGTCGTCTATTTCACAGGGTTGCCTCCAGGTGATGTAGAAGTCCTGACCGGGGGACTCAACGCACTTGGCGGTGTCCTCTCAAATGGCAAATCGAAACTCGTCACCCATGTTGTAGCCTTGGACATCACCCCTTCCCTTGCGAAGACGATTGAAGATGGTAGACTCAAGGCGAAGGTTGTTCTGCCGCACTGGTATGTTTCAAAATTGCAGGTTCTCAGCTTGCATCTGACATGTTTAGGCTCAATGACTGCCTGAAGCTTGCACGAAGACTCAACGAGCGCCCATATCAGTTACCTGATCCGGCAATTTTAAACCTGAATCCACCGCGAGTGAAACCGACCAGTAGTGCAAATATCCGCGGAGCAAGCTCTCCTTGCCCGAGTGAGCTGTTGTCCCCCGGAAACACTCCAAGGAGATTGCGCAGTTCGACGGCCCTTGACGGCCAGTTTGTCTGCTTTTCTCATGAAGGCGTGTCTGATGAGCATCGAAAACTGCGAGAGGAACTTGTCGAGGCTGCTGGTGGTCGGCTGGTTGATGAAGTCAAGCGTGCCACGATATACGTCTCTCTGTACCGCGATGGAAAAGGCTACGTGGAGGCATACCAAAGGAAAATTGTCATCGGCAACCTGGCCTGGCTCGACTTCGTTATCTCACACGCAAAGTTCAACTTGCCTACTCGACGACTCATGCATTACCCCGTCCCTCGGAGCGGCATTCGCGGTTTTAAAGGCACCAAGATTTGCATCACGAACTACACCGGCGAAGCTCGGATCTATCTGGAGAACCTGATTCTCTCCTGTGGTGGAGACTACACCAAGACTTTCTCAAAAGACAACACTCATCTGATCGCCGCCAACGAATCAGGCGAGAAAGTGGAGGCTGCGAGAAGCTGGGAAATTCCCATCGTTAACCACCTCTGGCTTGAAGATTGCTATGCGCAATGCGAATGCCTGTCTCTGACGCATGCGAAATATGTCTATTTTCCACACCTGACGAACTTGGGAGAGACCGTCGGCCAAATTCAAATGAACCGGGCAGCACTGGGCGAACAGGTTCAAGGCCTGGCGAAGAAGTATGGCATCACACTAAAATCGGGACGTTCGAAGCCAGTCGCAGCGGCTGATGGCACGCCTGACCCTGATTCCGACTTGACAGATGAAGACGACGATGTTCTGGACCACGATACCCCAAGTTCCCCTTCGAAGACAGCATCGTCACGAACATTGTCTTCGCGAACAGTGAATGCGACCCCCTCAGGTCAGCCATCGTCCAAGACACCGAGGACTTTAGTCATCGGACAAGACAAGGAGAACGAGACCCCCCCAACGACAGGCGGCCGTGGAGCGAAGAGCCGTGCACTCTCGAAAGTACATGACATGGCCACAGACATGAACCTGTTTGACAGAGAGATGAAGCGGAAGGGGGGCGTACTCCACGGTCGGGATCGACGGTCAGACGCCTCTATCGTTACCGATGACACTGAGGACAAACCCCCAAAGTCAAAGAAGCGTCGTTCCTCTGAATTCGATACCTCGACCGAGGTGGATGAAGAGATTTCCGTGAAGAAGCAGAAGGTGGTCAAAGCTGTCAAAACGCTGAAGTCTCCAGTCATGCATCGGATGATGGTCACCATGTACCAGCCTTGGCAGAATAATGCGAGGAAGGAAAGCAACGACAAGGTAAGGCTCGATATCTATGTCACTATGAGCCATGCATCCACTAACACAACCTCCACAGAACAAGCTCCGTAACCTGGGCATTTTCATCACCGAGAAGCCAACCGAAGTCACCATTCTCTGCGCCCCAGCCATCGTCCGCACGAAGAAATTCGTCACCGCCCTCGCGGGGGCGCCAAAAGTCGTGTCCACGGACTTTATCGACGATGCACTCGAAAATAAAGAACTCCCGGATCCGGATGGCTTCGCCCTAGAAGATCAAGAAGGCGAGCAGCGTTGGAATTTCAACCTTGTCGAGACCCTTGAACGCGCGGATTTAAACTGCCGTCAGCTTCTTAAAGGCGTGCAGATATTCTGTACGCCAAAGGTCAAAGGCGGTTGGGAGGGCTACAATGAGATCGCGGTCGCCAATGGAGGGTCCTGCCGGTTGTACGAAGGGAAGGAGAAATTTCACGTCCGAGTTCCCGGCAGTCAGAAGTCGAAAAAGAGCTCACGGGACAGCTTGACCGCGGCGCAACACGATCCCGTCTTCCTCGTCTCGTCGACGCAACCGGCGGATCGAGCCTTGTGGGAACATTTCCGAAAGATGGCGCAAAACGCGGATATGGAGCCGAGGATCTGTAGCGAGAACTGGCTGCTGCATGCGGCGATGACGCAGGAGATGGAGTGGGGGGGTGATTCGGTTGACCTGACGGTTTAACAAGCAGATTGATGTGACGGGTCTTGGGTTCGGTGGGATAGGATCGGAGACGTATCGGCAGATTATACTGCCATTGGCCACGTCCATAGTGTTGGCATATCTACATGGCTCCTGGCGTTCTGATGACCACGCTCTGTTTTATACCTTTTCGGCATTACTATCAGCATTAGCGTTTCAGCTTTGCATCTTATAGTTAGGTACCTACGATACGTATTCTCGCAACGTGAGCGAGCGTAATGTAGTGATGCGTTGGATTCGTAGAATCCTTACTCCTCGATGCTTAGCGATGCTCATGAACCTTCGTCGCCGTCCACATTAGAAGAACTTGATGCCCTGCTGATCATCACTTCCAAATATCTGCGCCTTTCCCTTCTTCACCAGAACCTGCAGTGACTTCTGCAACAACTCCATATCCATCCCATGGAATTCTACCACCCGTTAGCTTCTCCCTAGCTCAACACGCTCTATCTCAACCCCAGGGCACCTAAAAACATACCTTGCGACCTGGTAGCATCCCCCTCCGCCAACTCATATAACGTCAACACCGTCCCCCTCTGCGCCGTCGCGTCCACCCACGCCTCAATCAACCCCGCCCACTCCTCCGGCCGCCTCCAATAAACCCAACACCTCCCCTCCTCACCCCTCCCCTTCTTCCCCGTCCCATCCACCCACTCCGCGCGCTCTCCGCCCTCCGTTCCCGCCATCCACGCGATCACCTCCCGCGCATCGCGCAGCGCCAGCCGCTTGCCAAGCTTGCGGTTCCAAAAGAGGTCCGAGTCGAGGGCGTCGACGAGGGAGAGGGCGAAGAGGCGGTGGTGGCGGCAGTAGGATTGGATGAGGGTGCTCCAGGAGTGGAGCTGAGAGAGGCGGGTGGAGGCCGTGGGTTGGAGGGAGAAGAATGGGGGGTAGTGGTAGTGCGGGGGGAAGGGGAAGGCGGTGTTGGTGCTGGGGGGGGGGGGTGGGGGGGGGATGGAGGTGGGGTGGGGGGACGCGGCGGTGGTGGACATGGTGGGGATATATTTGGATGTCTGATTTGGGATGGAAATTGAGCGGTTAGGGTCTACGAGTGTACATTCTGGGGAGTTCGGAGATTTATGTTGCGGTTGAGGAATATCAAAGATGGTGGACAAAGAAATGATGCCTTTCGTCACGTGATGCATTTACCAGAAGATTTCCGAGATGGCGGTCAAATGCTGTCCTAAATTATGCTACACGCTTCTAATTTCCCTCTATGGGTCATCTGAGTCGGACGAGCATCTTCTCCGCTCCCTCTAATAGGGACCGTACCTCTTCCGCACATCTCGCGATGACTGCTCCGTCAATGACCCTATGATCCCCGCTCCAACTGAACACCGCTTCTTCTTTTCTAACCAACTCGCCGTTTTCCCCAAACGCAGGGGTCACTCGAGCTCTCCCGACTCCAAGAATGGCGACTTGCGGGCCCACGATTACAGGAGCGACTGCCCCGCCACCGATGCTGCCGATGTTGCTCACCGTCATGGTCGCCCCGGAAAGGTCGTTGGCTGAAAGCTTGCCTTCTTTGGCAACTGCTGATAATCGTGATATCTCGGCCGCGATTGTTGCGATGCTTTGTGTCTGTACATTGCGGATAACGGGGACGAGAAGCCCCGAAGGTGTATCAACCGCAACCCCGATATTGTGTGAAGCTTTGTGGATTAGAGAGGGACGAGAGGGGTTGCTCGTGGTGTCAAGGTGAGCATTTAGCTGGGGGAATGAAGTAAGCGCGAGGGAGACGGCTTTGACGATGAAAGCAAGGGGTGTGATCTTTTGGCTTGTCGTTGAGGTATTAAGTTTCCTCCGGAGCTGAGTCAGGCCCGTAAAGTCGACGTGATCCGTGTAGAGGAAGTGCGGAATCGAGAGGGAGTTGGTCATGACCTTGAACATCTGCTGCTGAATCATGCTTAACGGCACCGTCTTGTCCTCGGCCAGAACTCCCACTGGAGCTGTTCTTGTAGCACCCACAGTGTCGGATGGCGAGGCGGAATCCCTGGCGGCGATGAATTTCTGGATGTCGTCCTTCGTTACTCTGCCCTCTCTCCCGGATCCTTCTATTTCTGATATGTCGACTTTAAACTCCTTGCTAAGATGTCGAACCGCGGGCGTTGCCAGGGTCGCATGTTTTCTGCTGTCCATAGGCCGTGAAGCCGTCGACGATCCTACCGCACCGTTCTCCGTCGGAGTAGGTTGTAGCGACGCTCGAGAGGGCTCTTGCGATTGGGGTGGTTCCTTGGCTGCCGTATCCGTCTCTCCCGGGACTTGGGTGAGGGCCTCGTCTTCGGGCGAGACTTCGCTTTGGATATCGATGTCTACTAACGGCTGCATATATATGTTAGCAGATAGTCATGAAATCTCGGGACACGCTTGAGCCACACCTTTCCAACTTTCGCCATATCATCTGCCTCGTAGTGCAACTTCTTGATGATGCCATCGAATCGGGATGTAATCTACACCTGTGAGTGTCGTATTCCCTCCTACCATTATTGGCTGCCGTACCTCTACCGACGCTTTGTCTGACTGGACTTCGCATATCTTGTCGAATTGCTCTACCCGTGCTCCTGGCTGCACAAACCACTGGATGATCTGACATTCGGTAATGCCTGGTGATGGATTAGTCTCAATCGATTCTTCAGCTGGGGTAGATGAGACTTACCTTCGCCAATATCTGCCAGCAGATATGGCTTCACTACATATTGCCGTGAACTTCCATGAAACAAATGTCTCTCCGAGGGCTGACACGCTCCCGGTGCTGCAGTTTTGGGAATGCCTGTGGTCCGTAGTTGTGATAATGGTTGTCTTGACCGTCGTAGGACGCTATAAGCGATATTTGATGTCCTCGACGCCATTGCAATTGTAAATTATTGTGTGTGAAGGACTTCATGTTCGGCAAACGCGCTCTGTATATCTTGAGTATGTCACTAACAATCAAGGATGCAAACCCCAAGGTACAGCCGATGGTAGCCGTGTCTTTATCATCGCCGTCATGGTGGCCCGTGCACAGAAGTTATTCAGAGATGAGAGTTCGGACATTTGAAGATGAGATGAACTGCCGGTACCGGAGGAATATCAACCCAAGGTTGTCTTAAAGTAGCATCAATTGGTCTTTCAAGCGTGGTACTGCATCGTTTCTCTCCTTATCGATGCAGTCCCAGAGTAACCCCCAGCACAAGCGACAATGGGTTGAGTCGCTATATATCCGGTCCCTTCTGGTACAGTTTACCAAACGTCTCCAGCCCTATATCCTGCACCTACTAACGACCAAAGTGAAGGCTGGCGCAGTTGCGGGCACGACCACTGACCTATCCCTTTACCCCCTCGATACTCTAAAGACCCGCCTCCAATCATCCCAGGGCTTCGCCGCGGCAGGAGGCTTCCGAGGCCTCTTCAAGGGTGTCGGAGCCGCATTCGTCGGCTCCGCGCCAGGCGCGGCGCTCTTCTTCGTGACGTACGATTCCACGAAACGATATCTGCTGAAAGGGTCGGGCGAGCACAAGAGCCACGGAGCTCTGTCATGGATCCCGCCTAGTCTACGAGACCCGACCGCGCACATCGTCGCTGGAAGTCTTGGAGAGCTGGCAGCATGTACGGTCCGGGTGCCGACCGAGGTGGTCAAGCAGCGTGTACAGGCGTCGCAGCACCCGAGTTCGTTGTCATCTCTGGTCTTCATCCTGTCGAGATGGAGGCATGAAGGAATCGTACATGTCTGGAAGGAGATGTACCGAGGATGGGGCATCACGGTCATGCGCGAAGTGCCGTTCACCATTATCCAGTTCCCGCTCTGGGAAGGATTCAAGTCTCGGTGGGTTCACAGGACTCGGGAGAAGTACGTCGCGGCGCAGAATGCGAAGGGGGCGGTCATCGATCGAAATGTGCTAGAGGAACCGATATCCGCTGCCGCGTCTGCGATCTTCGGAACGCTTTCCGGTTCATTTGCGGCGGCTATGACGACGCCGTTGGACGTCATGAAGACAAGACTAATGCTTTCAAAGGAGAGGCGGACCTCCGCTTCGGTGTTGAAGCAAGTTCTTCGAGAGGAAGGATTCCGTGGGCTGTTCTCCGGTCTCGGGCCCCGTGTGATGTGGATTGGTGGAGGAGGATTTATCTTCCTAGGCAGCTATCAATGGGTTATCAATCAACTTGGAGGCGGAGAATAGAGTAGAACATTCATCTCATGCTGATACATGAATATACGATCATGTCACCATGGAAGGCGTACAATGGACGTATGCCCTTCATAGACCATAGCGTTCAGCTCGCGCTTATACATGATGTTCTATACCCAAAGCCCAGAGCGAACCCAACTGAGTAGAAGACCTCCGCCAACCTAGATCCTAAAAACACCCCCGCTACATAAACGAATTCAAATTCCCACCATGTCATGATCATGCCGTCTTCTTCGAAGGATTCCGTCGCCGCCACTTCACCGTCGCCGACGCATCCACGTAATCATCCTCTTCAACGATCGACTTCTCAGGACCCAGGCTTATGATCTTCACCTGATTGGCAAATCCAACGCCGACACTCCACTTTCCCAGCCGTGCCATCGGGCCGGGACGCGATACAAATAGCCCATCAGATACAGGCTTGGTTCTCGATTTGCCCTCCTCCTGGTTCAGCGGCGATGTTTGGAACTCTCCAGAGGATGAGATCGTCCACACTTCCCATGGCGCCGATAGAATGCGAGAAGAGTTCGGAAGCACTGCGCGGTTGTTGGATCGAAGGCGGTATTTCGGTGCGCTGGCGGAGTGAGGCAGCGGGATTTTATCGGATTGCATGGCGGAAGTGGTGGAAGCGCTGCCTATCTTGTCGCCGTTCGTCATGGGTTTTCGCCGTAATCCCACGAGCGACTTGTCAGAGGTGGCTTCCCATGCACCCGGGCACGGAATGGTGTGCACGGCTTCCGTTGCATCGCCAAGGCCCTTACACGACTTCTGCGACGGATTCGTCGCGTCCCGAAGACAAATCAGAGCAGACTCCCCGCCCTTTGCGGTGAAGGTGTGGAACCTGCAACGGTCCTCGACCGCGTCGGCGTATGCGATGCAGATGGAGTGCACCGCCGTACCACCACATGAATGACACGATCGTCGCTGTGAATGTAGAAATCGGAAGGACGACATTTTAATCTTCCCGAAATGAAGAATTTCGATTTCGCTCAGCGTGGAAGAATCGCATACGATGACCTTGTCGGCGGCCAAGACTGCACACAACCCAAGCGCGCTGATGCTGACCGTAGCTCGTGGCCGGTAATCTGGATTGATAGCTGTAGTCAGGGGGCTGGAGCCCCAAGAACCGTTCGCGTCTCTGCATGCGACGAGCGTCTCTCCTTTCTGGGTGGTGATAAGCAGTCGCGGATGCTGTGATGGCCGGGATATGAGAGTCGAAGAAATAATCCGGCCGTCGTAGACTCGGTGAGATGGTCGAATGGACGATTGCACCGGATCGATTTCAACAAGCCAGCCCGACGGTGTGACTGTCAAGAGAATGATAGCGCCAACATCGTCATGCGAAATCGTTGCAAACTGGAAGGTGCACAGGGGGAAATGAGGGAGATCGAGTCGGCATATCCAAGATATTCCTCTCCGTGGGATGCTCCAGATGGCAATTGACCCGCTCTCGGCGCACATGGCAATCCACGTTCCGGTATCGTCAATCGAGCAGGCCACGATGGGCCAAAGAGGAGGGACCACGGCCATGGTGGCAATAGCGTGCTGGCTGTATTCGCCGCTTTTGACGTCGTATATGTGGATCGTTACAAGGCGATCAAGCGAGATCGAAACGAAATGGCCTTTCCGGGAGCTGACCAGCTTCGTGACGTCTAGAGAGTGTATAATCGGCAAGGAGTTGAAAGTGAAGAGTCGATCCTCAATTTCGACGAGCTCCAAGTCATCCTCAGGGAGCTCTTTGAACAGTAAGTAGTTCATCAGCAAGGTTATCACGGCGATGGCGAACACAAGACTAATTGTGAAGTGGAAGACATGCTCGGATACGGCTTCCTGGATAGTCGTCAAAATGGAGTGATTTTGCTCGACTTCCGCATACCGATTGGCTCCGGCGAGCACCACAAACAACGGATCATATACTCGGGCCAAGAAGCTATATCCTCCAGGCTTAACAAATCCCACCACTTCCCTCGCGGTTGCATAGTCTTGCATTCGGAGCCATGCCGCTGGGGTCCTGGCTTGGTTGATAGGAGCAGGTGTCGGATGAGCCAAAGGATGGGATGTATTGCGGCTCGAAAAGACCCATCGAACAAGCTTGAGTATTGAGGCGGGACGGGCAGGATAATCAAAATGCCCATTAAGCGCTAAAACGAAGCAAATCGTCACCGCAGACCCAGCAATCCGAGTGCTGAACGGTAGCTTGCCTGCAAAGAGTTCCACAAGCCAGTACTTCCGTTCATGCGCCCCTTGTTTTGGCGGTGTGTTGCCGATAGTAACTTTATCAAGCGAGTCCTGAAGCTCGATTCTCCGGATGTCGACGCTAAGGACTGCGACCAAGAAGGTCAAATGGAACATGAAGTCGAAGATAAGGGCGACTGCGGCATATGCGCAGAAGGCCGAGACACCAGGAGATACGACTTTCGAGAGCAACCACAGCACACAGAGGTTCTGAAATGCGGCAGCTAGGGACAGATGCCCGACATCGCCAAGGGCATTTGCAACTCGGACAATAGCTGAGGTTTGTGGCGGCAACGCGAACACGGCATTTATTAGACGAAACCTGAAAACGTTAGGATGGACATAATCCAGATACAAGTTGACAACAAGATTCAAGACGGACATATTCTCCAAACCTAGAATGACAACGACGAAAGGATATACTTCACGCGGGATCCGTGCTAAATCGATTTTCAACAACCCGCAGATCGTGAAACTGGCAACAATGGATACTCCGATCTACTCTCAAGTTAGTAAGCAGATTACATGACGAGACCCAGCAGCATACCTCCGTGACGATCGCCAGCACCAGTCCAAATCGACTCTTAACCGCCTTTTGATTGCCCAGGCTGATTGTAAGGTACACTGCCGTCAAGAGATACGCAACCGCAAGCATAAAATCGTCATTAAAACTCAACGGCTGAAACGTAAACTCGTACAACTGGCTTCCTGTAACGTTCCCGTCTGAAGGGTAGAAGGTCAAGCGCCCTGCGGATTCGTTGACCAGAGCCTTCATCCGCTCTTCCCACTGTTGTTCGGTGGCGCTCCCCGACCGGTCAAAGAAAGTGACCACCAGCGCGTCGGCTGCAGCCAGACGGTCCTTCACGAACAATTTTCCCGCAAAAACCGAGGTTGGTCGAAGAGTGAAGTTGAGATAGGTCTGGCACTGGCTCTGGCTGTTGATGGTCGCTAGGATGTCGTCGTCGGACCGGATCGCTGCGGACGAGCAGTTCCAAAACATCAGCGGTGAGTGGATGCCCCAGGAAAGGGACAGGGGATTGTCGAATTCGGTGGCTCCATCGAAAACTCCTTGGCCAGACTCCATATCGTTGCCATAGGGAGCTCCGACGAGATGCTCTTGCACGTCCAATGCCTCCAACAGCAACTCCTTTTCCAGCGCCCTCATATAGCTCCCATGGACCCACACCTGTCGCACTTCCACATCGGCTTTGACATCCGGACGCCCTTCATACGCCTTCGCAGATGTCCAGACGTGGTGCGGCAGCTTCCGAAAGCCGGCCGTTGGGTTGTCGTAGAGGAAGAACACCGGGTAGCAGAGCAACACCGCAATCGCGACCGAGAAGAGAATCCATTGTAGCCAGTGACGCGCAGCGCCGGCCCCGTACCGATAGAAAGTTTTCCGGATCGGGTGATTCGAGCTCAGATGAGGTGGTTCAGTGGTTCTGGCGACGAGGTTAGATAGTGCGATCGCAGTGTAAGTATGCGGCTGCTGCGGCATATCGCAAAGGAATACTCACCCTCGGAATGGGTAGAGAAGATACCAAATCATACGGAATGGTGTGCAGGATTGAGTCCACACCTCGCGACTCGAGCATTTGTGCACGAAGTGGTGCAAAAGGTAATAATTAGGAATGGTCAGGCGACGAAGCCGGCACCAGGGCGGCGAAACCCACTCCAACCCCAATTACGTAGTGGTCTGAACTAGGATTCGTATCGATCGATCGGGTAAGACATACGTAGTACGGAATACGGTAACGATTCCCGTAATCCTGTGTCTCTCGGCCCGTGAACTATTTATCTAGTGTGGTGAGTGGTCAAACTCCGCGGACTCGGGATCTCATTCGGAAATCCCGAAGAATGGTCGAGTCCCGATTCTCGAAACTTTAAATCAGATTCGTGAATGCTAAGATCGCTCTCGGCAATGGAGGAAGTACCTACGGAAGTAGAAATATGCATCGTTGAATAATGAATCGAGTGGAGGGAGCCGATATCGATGATTTAATTAGAGGCGCTACGGAGGTCCATTTCAAAAGTTATTGCTCGCCAAGGAAGTGGCATGATTATATAAGCAGTTTCGAGAGCCTATGCCACGGGCACTGGACTGCCTATAAACGGGGCATTTAATTCAAGTCTTATTATAGAGCCTAATTCGAGGCAAGGGCGCCGGGCATTCGATTTACTGCGCCTAGTACCCGCCCGTTGGCTAGGCACCCTACTGCCCGTGCGATCGGCTTTCGAACGGCTTATATAATCAAGCCCCTTTCTTGGCGAGCAATAACTTTTGAAATGGGCCTCCGTACTGCAGCTATCTTAATTCTTAGCGCCTGGCTTTGTTCATGGTCGGCTGGCGTTTGACTGGCGCCGATAGCCATGATGCGCGAAACCCTTTTGGGCACAATGGCGTTCGGGGAACCCTTAAGGCTCAAGACTCAAGACTCAAGACTCAAGACTCAAGGGCTCAATCTTGGGACCTCAAGATAGAATATTGGCGACATAAAATGCTAGGATAGAAAAGGAGTAATTAGCCATTGTTCATGTGAGATAAATAGCGGTTTCGCTCAATCAGGTGATTAATGCAGCGACACAGTGGGAAAACACCATTAGATTCCAAAAGAGCGTAGATAGATTAACCTTGATCCTGAAGAGCCGGATCCTACGAAAACAGGCTGTTCCTGCAACTATTTTATATGGTTTACAATGGTGATCTTTTCCCTAAGAAGGGAAAGAATAGGTGTATAGAATCGAATACGGAATGAAGTCGTGGGGAAACGCCAAGAAACACAGATATTCTGTGACAGTTCAAACCCGATTTGGAGTTCGGACGGTTAAGGGGGCTTTCTCGTTTGGGATGTGGGAAAGGCTATGGTACCAGACTGCAGGCTCCGATCGGGAAGATCTTCTAGCAAGATTGAAGTCAATAATACCGATTACGATTACCGGATATATTGAAGTAACGTTGATGGAGAAGAGGGGGATTGAAGCTGCAATCAACTGAGCGGATCACAGTGATGCTCCGAGACCTTTTTCTCGCTCCAATGGCAAACAAATCAGTCATACCAGTTGCGATGGTCCTTTCCGATGTTCTTCATATCAAATCCAAGAGTAATCTAGACTCGCCATTGATCACCGTCTTTTGTTCCAAGAGGCATGCTTTACCTCTTCTATCCTGAGAACCCAAGATGCGCTATGGACACATACCGGTAAGTAAGTAAGCTGGCTAATGTACAGTACTGTACTTAGGATTCCAATGCCATGTCTCCATCCTCATCGTTCTTTATGCGCCTGCTCGTTCGCAGCGCGGTCCCGTCGAATGAATGCAAGACGACTATCCTCGCAAACGGCCAAAGACTCCTAATTACGGTCGATCAAGCCGGTGTCAAGCTGTCATCCTTCCTAAAGGTTTCTCCACGTATAACGATGCCTCCTAGCGTTGTAAGGCTGCCCAATCGATATTTCAGTCGTCATCCTCCATGGTTTCGTCATCGCCTGCACTTTCATCATCTTCCCAGTCCTCGTCCTCATCCTCGTCCTCATCTGCATCCGGCTGCCCAGCCAGCGCGGTCCCCAGCTCCTGCAAGATCTCCTCCGCATGCTCCTTGAGCCTATCATCCTCATAGTCCACAAAGTTAAAAAGCCGTAAACACTCCACCAGACACTTCTTGCTCCGTCGTAGCAACGGCAGCGTCCCCTCGCTCACCGGCGCCGATCCCTGCAGCTCACGGTCGGCGAAGAGCTTGTAGCACCATCCGCACAGATACCACGCCTCCACGCTGCTATCGTCCTCGGCCACGAGCCGGTCCAGCACCTCGCTCGCTTCCTCGAACATGTCCACTTCCATCAGCAGGCGAGCGAGGCTGATGCGGGCAGGGAATTCCGGGACATCGGGATCCTCGGGCCGCAGATCTTTCCAGATGTCGATGCTTTTGGAGAGATACTCTCGCGCTTCGGGTTTCTTCGTCTGCGATATCCGCACCGACGCGACCGTTTGCAAAACTTCGGGTCGGTCGGGGCCGATTAGAAGGGCTTCTGATACGGCTCGTTCGCATTGTTGCTCGGCTTCAGCGTCGTCGAATCTGCAGGCGCGGGATTAGTCAACTAGAATAACAAATCCGATCATCCGCACGTACGACAAGTCCGTCATGAACACCTCCGCAATGCCACACAGCGCCGACGCCAACTTGTGTCGCTTCTCATGCGCCGCCGCGCCCGCCTCCTCGCCCGGTAAACCCGACAACTCCGCGATCTGCCTCCTTAACACCTCCGCCCCCTTCTCAAACCACCCGATGCTCTCCATCCCCCCTTCCTCACTCAACTGCGCCAACCAGAGGAACTTCTCCGCGCCGCCTCCTTGCGACTCGGGGATGGACCCGTCGGGGTCCGCTTCGGTCGCGAGGGTGAAGTATTCCCTCGCTTCGTCCACCAGCCCGAGTTCCACGCAGATTTCTCCGAGTAGTGTGAGCGCGGGGAGCGCGGCGGAGGACTGTTCGGGGGTTTGGAGCTGCTTGTATGCCTTCATGGCAGATTTGAGCGCCGCGGTCGGGTCCCCCGTCTGCAATGATGCTGTCGCATGTTCCAAAAGCTCTTGCGCAGGTGGTTGAGGCCGTTCGGACGATTCGCCGGCCGCCTTGCCGTTCCGCCTGCCTTTTCTGCCCTTCGATGAAGGCTTCGTTTTCGCCATTGTCGACGGATTACTTCCAATGGCCAATCGCGAGATATGTAGTGAACGCTTTGAATTATATTTACTCCGGTTATCCTGTCGAAATCGAAGACACCAGTGTTGTGCCTAAGGAAAATCACGGTTGTCGAGGTTGCTGTGGTTTGTTGTCTCGAATATAAAAATTTCGGTTGACGTAGGACGGCGTCCATCTGGGTGAGCAAGGGTCCCCAACCCAATGTGAACCCCATCTCCACCTTCAATTCATATCACATAATATGATAATCGATTCTTCCGCAAATTTTCGAAACACATCCCATCATCGAATGCCATGAAGCGGAGCGCCCAACGCACACTCGCCCTACCATGGGCATACCGGCTCCCAGGGCTCTGCCGGACATGCCAACTCCGCGCCTTCGCTTCCGCACCTCCTCCGAACTCCACGCCCACCAGCCCTCCCAAACCCGTCTATAGCCCGCCCCCGCGCATCAAAGCCTGGACGAAGCAGGCGGACGAAGATGATTTCGTCCCGAAAATCCTGGGGGCGCCCATTGGGCAGCGAGCATCGCCGAGGCCGCTGCACGAGCAGGCGCCGATAGCGAAACTTTCGGCGCAGGAACGGAACCTGGAATCGCGGCAGGAATTGTATGGGGTCTATACCCGGGCTATGTGCTGACATGATTGAACTGGATGCTTACGCTATTCTAGAGTTAAGGAGTTGTCGAAGAGCTACTTTCGCGACCGGACGAATACGAAATACCACAAGGGGAAGACATTCCTCGCGAACCCGCAGATCTTCAAACCCGGACCTGCGCTGTATTTCCCGAACATCCGCGGCACGACATTGGACGCGCCCAAGGTGCTGTCGGACACCACGTCGGTTCTCCGAGGCAAGGTCTCCGTGGTCACGATCTTCAAGAGCCAGTGGGCGGTTTCACAGGTGGAGTCGTTCGTCGGGAAGAAGCAGAACCCTGACGTCCACGCACTACTAGACGACCCTCGCGCACAGCTGGTCGAGATCAACGTGGAAACGAATTATGCGCGGGCCTTGATTCAGCGGCTGTTCCTCGGGAATCTCAAAGGCGAGCGGAAAAGGGAGGACTGGAAGAACTACTTCTTCTTGCGCGAAGGCATCCCGGATAACCTTCGGGAAGCGATCGGGTATATCAATGGAGAGGTGGGCTACGTGTATCTAGTGGATGAGAATTGCAAGATCAGATGGGCGGCGAGTGCGGAGGCGGAAGGAGACGAGTCACAGTATCTCGTGAAAGGCCTGAAGCGATTGTTGGGGGACGTGGCGCCCGCATCGTCGTAGTTGGCTGGAAACCAGCAGCGCATGTCCTTTCAGTAAGGTCATGACATATGTAACATATGTAACAGTAGTGTACAATCGCATCGATCGTATCCGTGATGTCCTGACCGGCCATCCACCATCCGAATCCGCGACCTCGCTCGCCAACGCCTGAACTCCGAGCTAAGGGGGTATGCCGTCTCAGTGAAAATACAACAGCAACAAGAAACAGAACGCGAGAAATACCCCCAATATGATGCCATCCCTTCTCCGCTTCGCACCTATCCGCCCGATTAAGGTGTTGATCCCGGGGACCTGGCTCGCGGCCCCCACGATCCGGCGGTTCACGTTCGCGAGCGTCTCTCGCTGCAGCCCGAAATTCTCGTTGATGGCATACGCCTGCGCCAGCACGCCGTCGGTCAGGTTGTGGCTGTTATCAATTCGCCCCCGCTCGTCCAGCATGTAGTCCGCCTCCGCCTGGCTGGGGTTTGCAGAGCGGTAGGCGTCGATGTCCGAGCGGACGTTGGAGAGGAGGTTGGCTTTGTTGCGCAGCTCGGTGATGGTGGATTTTATGCGAGAGAGCTCGCGCTTGTGCTCGGATAATATCTCGCGGTGGCGGGCAAGGTTGTTCTGCTTGAGGGCGGAGGAGGTGAGGGCGGATTCGGAGTCGAGGAGGCGGGAGAGTTGGCCGATGACGGTTTCTCGCTACGTGGCAGAGTTAGCATGAGGAGAGGCACTGGTGGGATGAGGAATACCTTTGATAGGATCTCATTCAATTGGGTTTCTGCCCTGGATTCTTCTTCGGTTGGTCTCGAGGGTATGTTGGTCATGGAAGCGAACTGAGAGTACGTATGAAACAGCGTCTCCGTCTACCATGTGTTAGTGCTAGCAATGCAGTCGGCGTATATATCGTAATACCTGAGTCTCCAGGCTTCTTGCCTGTTGACGCAGCTGTGCCCAGCCACCTCCAGTGGACGTCATTTTCAAAAACAGCCCTTATTTTAAGGACAAGTGGAGGAAGCCGGGCTGTTGTTCATCGAATATGGTTTCAATGATGATGCTGATGGTGATGGGTTCATCGTGTTCGATGGCGGAGGTCAAGTGGATGAGCGAGATAAGGCATCGAGGCTCTAAGGCTGCTACTAGCCTACTACATATTTGTTTTCAAAATTCAACATGCCATCCCTGTCCACACATCACGTGCTGCATTCCCACTAAGCGACTTCACCACACCTCGAATTTCCTCATCTCACGATCAAGTTTCACGACGACCACGATCTCACCGCCCGATTCCCGACTTTTGACGAGCACGATACTCGCGCATCCTATTCAAAATGGTACGCTGGATTCCTCAGTCCAACTAGAAGAAACCAACGCTCACGAAATGCAGTCGTCCGGAAAGGTCAAGGCTGCCCAGCTCTGGGGGAAGAGCAAAGATGATCTCAAGAAGCAACTCGATGACCTGAAGCAAGAGCTGGTCCAGCTGCGCACACAGAAGATTGCCGGAGGCGCTTCATCGAAACTCACCAAAATGTAATGCTCCCTATACCGCGTGAAATCCGCTGGTTCCTGTGTCATTCGGGTGGCGCATTGGACAGTCCTCATGGATATCTATGCATGTTGATATGAACCTTCACTAACGCTCCAATCTTCAGCCACGATGTCCGGAAATCCATTGCTCGAGTCCTCACCATCATCAACGCCAACCAACGCGCCCAACTCCGTCTCTTCTACAAGAACAAGAAGTACCTCCCGCTCGACCTCCGCCCCAAGACCACCCGCGCCATGCGACGAAGGTTATCGCCGGCGGATGCCGCCAAGGTGACGGAGAAGCAGAAGAAGAAGCAGACCCATTTCCCGCAGAGAGTCTATGCCATCAAGGTATACTTTTACGAACCCCTGTGCTGGGTGTGAATGATCGGAATCAAGGCTAATGTGACGCAGGCATGAAAGCATAATGGGCACATGGTGTTTCTGGGTTTGATAGCATTGCACTTGCAGCGGTCTGCATCGTTCACTTCCATCCAGGTAGACGGATCGGTCATGTATCCCTGACGGCGGTTTCGATAAAAAGCAAGAATGGAACTTCTACAGCGTCAAAAAAGTTATCCCACTCAAATCATCAAAGTGCACGGCCATTTCAATATCAATCCGGATCTTTGCGACTCGAGTCCAACCCCTCCAGAACAAGAGCATCCGTCCATGAGGGGTTATGATCGTACCTGTGTGCAGAGACCGATGCCAAGGCCATTTCCACCATTTTCCTAGACCAATTACCAATGTCCACCAGTAATCCAGCTTGCCCAGAGTCTCCGTATATGCAGTTCGGGGCCACTTCCTACAGTAGCGCTGCATAGAACCCAGTAGGGAAGCGGCGTAGGATCAACGTGACAGGGAGCGTAATATGAGTATCTCAACATTATTGCTAACGTAATCCACAAGTGAGTTAGCGATACAAGCGAGTTAGCCAGGCCAAATCTCACCAAAATCGGGATATTTCATAACCCTCTATCACAAAAACAACATTATAATAAAGTATAAAAGTTGATGGATAGACTTTACCAGTCATTTTAAGCCTTTCCTTAAATTTATAGAGCTCTAGCTATTGTGGTTGTGGATATACCTAGGTCAGAGTAGATTCTAGCACCTTTTAGCACCTAGGATCTAGATATATCTATCTACCACTACAATAGCTAGGGCTGTAAAAATTCAAGGAAAGGCTTAAAATGACTAGTGAAGTCTATCCATCAACTTTTAGATTTTATTATAATGTTGTTGTTGAGATAGAGGGTTATGAAATATCCCGATTTTGGTGAGATTTGGCCTGGCTAACTCGCTTGTAACCATGGCTAGTTAGTTAAAGGTACTTCTACAAACCTAATATACTTTACAACCCAAATTCTTATGGCATTGTCGTATATCGATCTCCAAAACGTGGCTCTATTCTCTCAAATCTGAAGTCGACCCAATCGCTCAGTATGAATCCCGATTTTCCACCCGATCTAGTCGTCCGCAGGGTCGGAACTTGGATCAGACACGTTGGTCATCCAACCAAGCTTTCGGTTGGCTACTTCGCCAGGGCCGCCCGCCCTTGGGAGTTCACTCTCCTCTCACTCCAATCCCGTTCAGCGTTGGAATTTCGATCTTGGCCTTCTTGGGTCACATCCAGGAAGCGGGAATCGTTCCCTAGGAAAGCAGGAATCTAGCCCGTTCACAGATTTCCCAAGTCCCAACTCATCGGAGGCTAAACGAAGATCTTTCCTACTTAGCCTCTAGCGACCAGCGTATGCCGCCTCAAAGCACAACAAAGTCGAGAATGCCTTATCCACCGGCCGATAGTCACGGAACTCGTAGTTGAGGTTTTCTGCCGAGTGCCTAGCACTTAGCAGCGGGCCAAGAATAGAGTATTGCCAACAAGGAAAAAAGCAAAAACGCTCGGCTCGCACCACAGCTTTCAACGTCCATTATGCATCATTCATCACCTCATGACGCCGCATATCCTTCCAAATTTCGTAGTCCTCCCCGCTCGCTTTCGCAGCTCGCTTGCGGCGTCGGTCTGCAATCTGACCGTGTCCATCGGCCTGCCCGATGCCAGGATATTCAGCGATACGGTGCTCGCCGCCGCCAATAAGGCTTGCATGGATAATCAGGCTACTTTCCCATGATGCGGCGGTGCATGCTTTCCTCGATGTGGGTGACGAATTGGGACCCGGGGATTTGTGTTTGTACGCACTACTGCAGGACGCTAAGTGCTACCCTAAATTAATAGACGGCTAAGGTTTTTTAAGGTCGACACACAGTCCGCCAGTGCTGAGACTGCTGACTGCTGAGCCCTCTGTGACCGTTAGCCCTTCGCGTTTTTCCATTTTACGCCGTTGGTTTAGATTTGCTCCCGCCACTAACAGCAACTTCTACCAAGGTAAAGTTACAGTAGAACGGGTGGAGCAACGAGGCGAGGAACATGTCTGAACTCTGAAGAATCATGATTTACGGACGTAATACAGTCCATCCGTACAGAATAGCTTTCGAGTTTCGACCATCCGATACAATGATTGGCACCCCCATCCTATTCCGGATGGTGGAATATGTCGCCTTCAAGGATACGATAGCGTCCCGCGTGGGAGCACAACTGTCCGCCATGAATCAATCCTTGCGAATTGCAAACCTTCGGTCAGATCCTACCTCTCTTTGGTAATCGCGTGGAGAACTAGCCAACTGGGTCTAGATCCTTGAACGGATCGAAATCTTGGGGGGTTCCTAGTTCTCTTAAAAGTCTGGGATGTCCCATCGCGTCTCCTCATCACATGGTATCGATACATTGTTATTGAACGTCCTGCGAAACCGAATCCAAGAAGGCCCATGCAGTTCCGACCCGAATTTTTCTGTCTTCTCCTCAAAGCGATCTGGTAAAGGATCGTGCATAACGCGGGCCGCTATCGGCCGAATTGACCGTGATGGCATCGACCGGGATCGATTACGGACAGCCACAAACGGGGGTGGGACAACCCGTTTACGGCGACGAGAAACAACAAGCATATAGCAGCGAGAAAGTCGCAGCGGGAGCTGGACAACCGGTTTACACCGAGAAAACCCCAGCAGGATATGATGACGGGGAAGACGAAGTCAATATTTCTGTTCGAAGGGGTAGCAAAATCGCTGGCGACAATACGCATCGAAAGTTAAAACCCCGTCATATCCAGCTTATTGGTATCGGAGGAACAATTGGGACGGCTCTGTAGGTTTTGAAATTCCTCCCTCAATAGCAGAAGCTAATCTCATTCAGCTATGTCCAGATTGGCCAGGGACTTCTCAATGGCGGTCCGGCTAGTCTATTCATCGCATTCACCGTCTGGTTCGTCCAAGCCCAGATCCCTTGTCGATTCGAATGTTTAACTGACCCATGAATAGGTGTACGTTCATCCTCGCCGTGACCCTGTGCATGGCGGAAATGGTCACCTATCTGCCAATCTCGTCTCCGTTCATCCGATTCGCGGGTCGCTATGTCGACGAAGCGTTCGGGTTCGCGGCCGGCTGGAACTTCTTCGTCTTTGAAGCGGCCCTCGTGCCGTTCGAAATCGTGGCATGTAACGTCATCATCAAGTTCTGGGACGTCGACGATGTCGTTCCCGCGGGAGCCATCATTGCGGCTGTCCTCGTGCTTTACGGGTAAGTCAAACCCGGAGACGCACGGAGCAAACAGACACTTACAATACCAGGCTAATCAACGTCCTCGCGGTGAAGTGGTACGGTGAGACCGAGTTCTGGGCTGCTATCGGTAAGGTCCTATTGATCATCGGCTTGATCATCTTCACCTTCATCGTCATGCTCGGAGGGAACCCCAAGCGCGACCGATTCGGCTTCCGTTACTGGCGCGATCCTGGCCCCTTTGCCGAACTTTACAAGGAGGGTAACCTAGGCCGCTGGCTTGGCCTCCTCCAATGTGTCATCCAAGCTTCCTTCACGATCGCCGGCCCGGATTACGTGTCCATGGCAGCAGGCGAAACGGAGAACCCCCGAGTCGTCATGCCGAAAGCGTACAACGCCGTCTTCTACCGTTTGACTGCATTCTTCGTTCTCGGTTCGCTTTGCGTCGGCATCAACGTGCCGTACAATGACCCGGAATTGACCGCGGCGTTCAAGAATAGCGAACCCGGTGCCGCCGCGTCGCCGTACGTTGTGTCCATGAATCGGTTGGGGATTCCCTTCCTGCCGCATATCGTCAACGCAATGGTCTTGGGTGCGGCCTTCTCCGCTGGAAACAGTTACGTCTACTGCGCCTCGAGATCGCTTTATGGCTTGGCGCTGGAAGGGAAAGCACCGAGGTTTCTGACGAAATGCACCAGGGCCGGTGTGCCCATCTATACGGTCATTGTGGTCCTTATTATTTCTCTGCTGTCATTCCTGCAACTATCAAAGAACTCGGCCGTCGTGCTCAGCTGGTATGGTCAATTTCGCTCAATATTCAGAAATGCTCTGCTAATTCCATTGGGTCTAGGTTCGTCAGCCTGGTGACGGCCAGTCAGCTACTTAACTTCGCGGCCTGCTGTTGGACCTTTCTCGCCTTCTATAGAGCCTGCAAGGCACAGGGTTTGGACAGAAATAGCCTGCCGTACAAGGGCTTCTTGCAGCCATATGCGGCCTATTATGGGTTGACAGGCACATTAGTAATGGCCTTTGTCGGTGGCTACACTGTCTTCCTCCCTGGAAAATGGGACATCCCTACTTTCTTATTCTCGTAAGTGACCCCATTTTGCGATAACACATAGTCGTCAGTGCTAAACATGGTGCAGCTATACCATGATCGGAGTTTTCCCTGTCCTATTTATCGGCTGGAAGTTGATAAAAAAGACAAAATGGAGGAAACCAGACGAGGTTGACCTTTATGAGGATTTGGACGAGATCGAGGAATACCATCGGAATTTCGTTCCGATTCCTCCGAAGTGAGTTCCGCGCCTCGAAATCATCGGGGATATGTGCTAATGACGCCTCCAGGAACGCACTCCAAAAATATGCGAACAAGATCTTCGAGTAAGAGGGCTGGCCAAATCTAGGAAGGATAAGTGTTTCGGTTTGGACTAGTAGCGATGCGATACCATATTCTTGAAATGAGACCTAAGTTTGATATTCATCAAAAAGTCATGAAGTGACTGTGATACTCAAATTACACCCATCCCATATGACTTCATCCCTTCCATACATCTGGGCCCGGAATCTTGTATGTCGTCTCCTTGCTGGTCCAGAAATCTTGGATATTGATACTTGGATCTGCTCGTATGGTCAGTCAAGTTATCTGTCCCTCTATATTTCAAGCCACCTTACCACTCATCGAATACACCCCCGGGATGCTCGCCCGATATTGTGCCCCCGGCGACACCGTCCCCGACCCCGTGACCTTCAACTGCGCGCAGTTCGGATACCACTGCGGCGGATTGCTATGCAGCGCGATCGTCTCCGTCCGCAACAGATAGTTTCCCGGCTTCAAGCTCCGTGGGATCGTCGAGGTCCAGCTATAGTTCTGGGCGATCATGTCCGCGGACCCCCATTTGCCGTTCGCCAGTACCCCGCTGGACAACCCAGCCTCGTCGATCTTGAACCATTTGCCGCCTTGACCGTTCCAGGAGGAGCACTCGCTGGGGCACTCAGTCATCCAGGTGACCATTGGACCAAGGTTGTGCGCCCTGTTGGGTGTCAGTCGTGTCAGTTCATACTCCAAGGCAAAGCGTCGATGCGGGAGCATATGCCGTACCAACCACTGTTCCAGTACTCCACAACCTCTGAACCGGCGGGCACTTCGGCAGATAGAGGCGCTACCGTTCCAGGGTTGTTGCAGATGATATTGACTGAGGTTGGATCTTGGATGGGGTCAAAACTCTGCCAGTAACGTTGGATGCTTGGCTGTTGATTCGTAGGGGAGTTGTAGGGCTTCATTCTACATGATTATCAACATCAACAGTGCATTGATAGGGTGGTTGAGTATATACCCAGTGTACCACTCTCCGTTGATCTGATACTCCGTGACTCCTCCATGGCCGAGGACGAAAGAAGCCTGCAACAGTGCCGCAGAGATAGCTTGAGTGGCTTTCATGATTCGTTTGAACGACCAGATATCTTCTATACGGCCTTATTGTATTTCCGTATGGTGAAGGAGGTATCTATCAATCAGGAGGAGCGTGCTGCTGACCATTCTACCAACTTATACGTCGCTCAATACCTACCGGACATCACGAACCCCTCCGGACCAACTCCAACCTGTCCTGCTCTCTACCTGATCCCATGGTCCCTGGCAATATCATCGACCCTGTGCTCCGTGCCTGAAATGTTTGCTTCGCAGTAAGTCCGGATGAATTTACCTGCGAATATTAAGTTTGCTCGTGGCTGAACCATGGATCTATCGAATCAGAGAGATCAGTCAATCGTTCGAGGCTCGCTAGAATAGGAAACAGTCCGTGTCTCTTTGGGATGGCAATGGCTTATTGGACATTTAATCTAGACGGTACGCTGGTGGAGATTCTTGGGGACCAACAAAAAGGTCATGAGAGTCCTGCTATTTTCCTGTTAATATATTTGTGACTGTGGTGGCGGACGACATGTTCTGTCTAGAGAACGCGTGGTTGACCGTGTTAGCGCATGGAATCCATCACCTGCCAGGCTGTCACGCTCTGAAGTATCCCAATAAACATTTTGATCTTGGTATTGAATTGCACAGGTACATAGCTCCTAGCCAGCTGGACCAACTGTCCATATTCCCCAAAATCTGCCTCTATTCTCATAGGTACGCAGCATCCACCCAGGTCTTATAAGTGCCTCCTAGAATCTGCGTGATCGGCACCGCACTGCTCAACTTCTTCGAGAACGAAGCCCGTCGGCCTTCCGCGCCCGGTCCAGTGTTCTTGTATTCGCCGTAGTACACATTTTTAGTATTCGGCTCACTGGACTGCCAAACCGACCAGCCCGCCCCGTTTATGACGTTAGACAGCTCGGTGTTTTGGAAGACTACGCGCGAATACGATCGCCAGGGACGGCCGAGGAAGTAGGATCCGGCGGGGACGCTCTCGCCTTTCGCAGCGGTGACCTTGCTGTTGTTGATGACGTAAAAGGATGGGTTGCTATTGCTGTCGCGGCCGTTGGCTAGAAGTGCATCAGTTCCCAGGTTCCAACGCCCAATTCGTAGAATCCAACTTACCAGTAATGTACTTCCCCCCATTGCGGACGCCAATGTCGCACTTCTCAAACCACGCCAGGGATTTTTGTCCGAAGATGAAGTCCGTAGCCCCGGTGATGAGACACTTAGAGAAGTACTGGCTCCCGTCATTCGGCATGACGGTATCCTGGAATCCAAAGAATCCACAGCCGTAGAATCCCTGACTCTTCCCATATGCGCTCAATGCCAACGCCTGCGACCCTTTCCCCCAGGTATTCTCCACGTTGATGTTGTACAACTTGAACCCATCGTTCTTCACCCGCAGCGTCCCCGTCTCGTCATTATTGGGCTTGTTCGCCTGGCTGTTCCGTGCCGAGATTGTCACTTGGTTCTTCTCATACGACGAGGCATCGGGCGTGGATCCCATGATGGTGAGGGCACCCTTATTGGCAGGCACATAGACCTGCTCGTTGTATTTCCCCGGCAATACGAAGATCACGCTCCCTGCCTTCGCGGCGTTGACGGCGCTGGAAATAGTTTTATATTTGCCGCCATTGCCGACGACGAGGGCGCCCGAAGGTGCAGTCGTCCGGCTCTGAGCGATGGCCGCTCCAATGAGCGGGATAACGGAGAGAAACAGACGCATCTTGACCGCAGAGAAACAAAAGAGAGTGTAGGCGGGACCGGAAAAGAGGGACGCGACCCCATCTTGAGCCAAGATCCGGAAAGACTGTTCTTATAAGAAATATAGACTGAGCGACTAAGAGCGGATTAAACAAATACAAGCCAGATACGATCGATCCGGAAAACCTGAAGATCCACCAGTCGTAAAGCTGCGGGTCCATTACCTTCAATTACTTGCCATATCGCTAAAGGACCAGCGTGCGGCGATATTGCATGCCAAGGGCCCTAGACAATGAATGACCACATATGCTGACGGTTGCATGGCCTTGACGGGTTTATGCAAATCAATGGTTTGATTGGGTCCATATTCCTCGAATAAAGAGTAATAAAGGTAAATTTAGAGCACAGAGGGAAGTGGGAGCTCCCAAAGAGACAATATGTTCGCTGGGTGTGGAGATGGGTTGTTTCATATATAAACGTTCACATCCCGGATCTTCCGCTTCATCTTCGGCACCCCAATAATGAAACCAGCACCAGTGCGTTCAAATAAGGTGCCGCAAATTGGGCGGAGAAGCTATTATATGCTGGTCACTTGATAATTCAATCGCAGACGACCTTCACTGAGACACCAATCAGATGACTTGGAGAACAACGGAAAAAGTTATATTCAGCATAGTGGATATCGACGTGCCAACAGAAAATATATCAAGTCCAAAGCCTGCAAGTACCATCCGCGCCAGCAGTAACACACCAAGGATTCCGCGGATGCCAATCTACATCCAGTACGCCGAGCTGGCTCGTCACCTTGTGACCACGCAACGTCTTCAACGGCACGATTGTCGCGTTCTCCATTAGGTCATCCACCACCCTGCCGTGGTACACCTGACACGTGCCATCATCGCTCGCGTCGACAAACAATGGCAATCCACCCGGGTGAACCTTCACGGCACGCACAGCCTTGGTATGGAATCGTAACGTGCGGTACGGGTGGATGGACAGCTCCAGATCATGCCACATCATCCGCTTGTCATAGGCGCCGACGATGAGGTTGTCGCCTCCGGGATGTAGGTCGATGGACGAGATCCATTTCGCGCCGGGTTGGAGAGATTTGACGAGCTGCTGTCGGCTGAGGTCGTAGATCCGGACGGAACGTTGGGTGGCGACGAAGAAGAGCGGTTTGCTGGGATGGAATGTCGCGGTCTGAGGAAGGCCCTTCAGTTTTCGGAACGGCAGCTGGGTGCGGTGCTGAGATAGGGTGTGGATAGCAACCGCGTGAGATTGACCGGATGGCGCGACGGTAGCGAAGTATTCGCCGCGTCGGTGGAAGCAGATGACCTTGACGGTGGCTCGAACCACGATTTTCAGGAGGACGCCTTGCTCTTCTAACTTCGACCCCGGACGACTCCACGTAGATCCTGGGATTTTCTGCGAGGCGGAATTGGTGTCGCCCTTGCCGGTAGCATGACCGAAGCCCATGTCCAACACGGTCCGACTGGCAGACTCCACCGCTGGAGTCATGTTGGGAATCGTCAGTGGGATAACGAAGTAGACCTCGTTGCCCGAAGCGGCAGCCAAAATCAAGGCATCTCGTCCAGGCCGCCATCGCACAGCGTTGATTGGTTCGTCCCCAATCCTGATTCTCTGGAGCTGACGCCCAGTGAGAAGTTCCCACAATCGTACGGTGCCGTCGTCCGCTCCGCTGGCCAGGATCGTGCCGGTGGGATCAACTGCAATACTGCGGACTCGTCCCTCATGCCCAGAAAAGACTGCGGCACACGTGGTAGGGTAAGGCCTTAGCTCTTCGGGATTTGGAAGCTTGGGTAGGAGTGATTCGGGATCGATGTCCAGCTTGCTTCTCCTCACGCGAGGTGCCAAATAGAGGTCCAACGACCGCTCAAAGCGTTCTTTAACGAACCGATCGTACCCAGGAACCTTGTGCAATGCATCATAGTCGCTAGGAAGGAATTCCTTCTCTCTCTCCTCAGGATCCTGGGCCAGCCACGTGTCTTTCTCTTCTTGGTCGGGCAGGTACTCGGGAGGTGGGTGAACGCTCTCTTCGTAGCCCGGAGGAGGGAGCTTCGGTGCAGGGACGTTCATTGGGTGATCAGGCCTGGGCTTCTCGTCTGCCCAAACATCGAATGTCCAAGGATCGGTCTCCTCTTCTTCCGTTTCCTCCGGGGGACGATACGGCTGGATCCTTCCCTCCCTAATAGCCTTCACGATCTTCATGACCTTCTTCGCCTCATGCTTGGATGGGACGAATCGTCGTTTTGGTTCAGGCGCAGCGCTGAGAGGCATGATCTCCGTCTGCCGCGAGAAGTAATCAAACATCTCTGGGTAAGGATCATACCCTTCCTCGGGTATTTCATTCCTCGTGATCTTCTTCAGCATTTCCAGCTCCTCTTGGGTGAGCTCGAGAGGTTTGCCAGTCGCTGGGTCGGTCAACCCGGTCCAGCCTTCTGGCAGCTCAATACTGTTGAGCAAGGTATCCAGCGCATCGCCCTTGGCGGGCCGCATGATTTTCTTGCCGTTGATATCATAGCCGATATGGGGGTATGCGTCGTAGAATGTGAGAGGGATGTCCCCGATCGTGTTCTCGTTGTCCGGGGCGTCGGAATCATCCGTTTCGTAGCCAGGTTCGATTTCTTTGTAGATGTACCGCGGGTTGCCATTGGCGTCGGTCGACACGGTATAGTTGAGCTCAAGATCATTCTCGTCGACTTGTTCAAACCCTGCTTCATCGGAATCCTCAGCGTCGTCGTCGCTCGCTTCCTCGTCCTCGCCGTTGGCACCTGCAGCATTTCGGCGGCTCCGTGAGGCTCTCGTGGGCTTGAGAGCCCGCAATTCTTCCTCAATGAGTCCAGTTACTTTGCCGTTTGACTCTCCTTCATTATCGGAATCTTCCTCGTCCTCTCCCTCTATTTCAACCTCGGAAGCGCTCCCGCTTGCAACAGAAGGGGCTTCACTTCCAGAGTCGTCCAGTTCAAGAGAAGCAAATCGCTCCGTCTCATCGACAACATTAGCAACAGTCTCTTCTGGCTGACGAGTCAGCAGCTTCCTCTTTCTGCCTCGACCTGGTGCTGACATTTTGTCTGTGGATGTCAAGTTAGAAGAGTATTTTGCGGCTCTGTGGACCAAAGATTCCATTGATGCGGAATAATATCGTGAAATTTTACGGATGGCGACAGGGATTTGGTGGTTCAAATAGTCGGCCGGAGTTAGGGCTCTCTTGGTTCAAATAGTCGGCCGGAGCAATGTGGCTTGACCTGGCATTGCCAGAGTTGATGAGTTGATGACTGAATCATTGGCAGCAAGAAGAGCAAAGCATTCACTCTACCCTTCAATTCCACCTTTAATCGGAGAGGCATCATAGTAATATCTTGGAAAGAATCTTTTTTGACATTTACTCGGATAACTTGCGCATACTCTTGCCTAAGTGGAGAAACACTTTGAACATGGACATTGAGCAAAGTTTAGGGAGTCTCTACTAATAATATCGAACCTCATTATTATCACTCGGGATGGCTTCATCGAGCAATCGAGCGTTAAGTCGAACGTTGCTCAATTATACCCGGGTGGGATCTCGGGCTTCTGTGCGATATACTTCCTCTCAGAGCAACAAACACACCGGATCTCCGGCTCCAGTGGAGCAGCCGAAGCAAGACAAGAAGACAATCAAGCAGGTGAATAGGTTTCTAGTATCGCTGAAGTTGCTTTTAGTGACTGACCATCAGTAGTCATCAGCTGCGAAAGGGGAATCTGCGGCAAAGGAACCAGACAAGAAGCCCAAGACGCAAGCCGAGCTTGACGCGGCATTGCGGGAGAAGTTGTCGGGGATGGCAGGAGATGGAGGAGAGTCCGGAGTGGAATATGAGGATGGGAAACCGGTTTCAATGAAGAGAGGAGTCCGGAATAATATGTTTCGGTATATATAAAATCCACTCTAGCCTCGATTGTGGTAGACGCCTCGAATTACAGCATGATAGGAGCATTGGTTTATATAAGTTCCCGGCAAGAAGCCGTTTGAGGCTCTTGGATCAAGTTGTCAATACTATATCATTACATAAGATACATCGGAGTTCTCGAAAACCTGAGCTATTGATGGACCATGATCTCGTGGGTGAAGAAAAGATGGAAAGACTGGAGATGTTTAGGGGGCGATGCAAGATGAAACAAAGCATCGCAAGCTGGTGGAGTTCACGTGTTCCTGCATTAGCCACCCCTGTCGATCATCTCGAATCGGTTGCTCTGATTCGTCGACCCAGCCAGCCCTTCAACCTCAGGCCATAAGGTGTCTCCGGACATTAAAACATTGAATCATCATCTCCAGTTCTCTTCGCCTTCACCCTTTCGACTGACGACGTACAATCTCATCACTGGCTACAATCTTTATTGTTTGCCTTCGTAATTCCGTCCGTCCGTTTGGAAGATTCAGTCCTCTCCACAGTCCTTCCATCGCTCTTTTAATACCCCAATCCTTCCTTTTTCTTTCCCATTTCCTGTCCCTCGCTCCATCCCCTTTTCCTGTCCTCTCCTGTGCCAACCCTTGGATCACGAACCATGCATTTCTCTACCCTCATTTCTGTGGCTCTGGCCGCAGCTCCTGCGGCCGTTTCAGCTGCGGGAACCCTCGGTTTTGCGTTAGGGACTAAGAACCCCGACGGCTCGTGCAAAAGTCAATCGGAGTACGAATCCGACATGGACGCCATCGTCGCCGCATCCGGCAGCACCCTCGTCCGCGGGTACGCCGCTAGCGACTGCAACGCCGCTCAGAACATCCTTCCCGCTGCGAAGGAGAAGGGATTCAAGGTCGTCCTCGGCATATGGCCGGACGTCGAGGAGTCGTTCACCAAAGACACCGAGGCCGTCAAGGAGTACGGAACCAAGTACGAGGACCAGGTCTACGCCATCACGGTGGGCTCGGAGACTCTGTACCGTGGCAACTTCACCGGCGCGGAACTTCTCGAGAAGATCCAGACCGTCAAGAAGATCATGCCGAACACCAAGGTCGGCACCGCCGACTCCTGGAACAAGTACGCCGATGGCACCGCCGACGACGTGATCCGAGGCAAACCCGACATTCTGTACGTCTCCATTTCCCCGACCCCCCAAACGTATTGATCACACTAACACCACGCGTCACAGCCTCATCAACGCGTTTGGCTACTGGCAAGGCCAACCCATCGATAACGCCACCCACACCTACTTCGACGACATGATGCAAGCCATCACGCACATCCAATCTGTCGCCGGCGACACCGACTCCATCGAGATCTGGAACGGCGAGACCGGCTGGCCCACCGACGGCGGCAGCGACTACGGCGCCGCGTCCGCCGGCACCGACAACGCGGCCACCTACTACAGCGAGGGCGTGTGCGGCATGCTGGCGTGGGGCGTCAACGTGTTCTACTTCGAGGCGTTCGACGAGCCGTGGAAGCCGCATACTGTTGGCGACAGCGGGAACGCGGCCGACGAGACGAAGTGGGGGGCGATGGGCGCGGATCGGAAGACCAAGTTCGATTTGAAGTGTTAAGTTTAGCATACTGCATTTCCTAGAGTGAGGGGCGAGGATGTGGTGAGTGTCGGACGTGATGGTATACATTGGCCGATTGCTGGAAGCCGGATTGGCTCCCACGGTTTTGCATAGACGGATATCAAAGATTTAGGCGTACACTATCAGGGCTTTGGATTTGATTCGGCTTGGAAGAGCGTGTAAAGAGTAGAGCTGCCTTTGTGGCGCAAAGTAATTGGACGAAATAATTCAATTCTTGCTGATCTCTATCAATCGTCAGCAGTAGATCATCGGAGTGTCACGGTCACTGTCACCTGTGACTATAGTTTGGTCATGTGCAAAGTAGAGTGATCTTCAATCTTCTCCGAGTGACACTGCATTCCATTCAAGATTGATGCGGGCTAGCACGACCAACACAGGCGATTGCTTCACAGAGAGGAACGAATCTACAGCACGATTGACCAGTTAAGCATCGGACGGAGTTGAATTCATTTCATCATCAAGCTAAAAGCAAACAACGCCTGGGTATCTTCCCACAAATCAAATCTACGCCTGCTCGGCGCCCCTCTTGCCCTCAGTTGGCTCTCGCTCGCCCTTCTTCGACAGCCTGAGCCGCCTCGCCTTCTCTAGCTCCTCCGCGAACTTGCTTTCCAACCGCAGATTCGGTCCCTTGTGGTAGAAGATGTAGATCGGAATGGTGACCGGGATCGCGATGGCAGCCAGGATGATGGTCGGCAAGCTGAGCGTCCACCTCGGATACGTGTCGATGTTTCGATAGAATGGGTGGGCGTAGAGACCAGCGATACCTGCGAGCAAGTCCCGTGCGAAGTCGTTCCCTCCTGTAGCTGACGCCGCATACGGTCCGTATGCCGCCATCATGTAGTCAATAGTTGACTTGTAGATGGCGTAGTTGGACATGCCAACGAGCCCGTTGAAGAGCAGAGGGGCGATCCAGGGGGTGTTTGGCGGGCCGAGCGACGTGAAGGCGAACCCGAGCAGTCCGAGGAACAGTCCAGGAGCCACTGGAAGATGGTCAGCTGCAGGCATCGAAGGCGAGAGAAGGACAGCACATACGGAAGAGGAGGAACCACAGCCGTGATTCCGGAGACATCGAATCAGGATCATGTGCGCGCTTCTTGTTGTGATGCCAGATCACAGGAAGGTAGCAGAGGTACGCGATGAAATAACCGACCAACGACCTGTGCGAAACGTCAGTGATGCCAAACCCGAAATGCAGAGGAACGCATACGAGAGGAAGCAGAGTCCTCTCTGCCAGGGCTCGAACCCCCACTGGTCGAATATGGGACCGAAGGCCTCCATAAATGTGAAGATCAGGGAGTCACTAAATCCACTGAGCAAGGAAAGCCAGAGGACAATGGGCTCCGTCAACAACATTTCGAACGGCCTCCACCAAATGCGTAGGATCTCTCGGAAACTAAACCGATGTTCCTTGAGCTCATTCGGCCCATACACGTTGGGGTCCTTGCCCGACTTCCTCCGCCGCCGCGCCTCGTGGTCAAGAATGACCGTCGCTCTCGTCTCCGGCACTAGGAAGAAATGTGCAATCTGCACCACCCCACCCATGATGAGCAACACCCAGAAGATCCACGAGGGGTCGTCCTCGTGTAGGTCGAAAACGAAGCCCCCGATCATGGCACCAAGAGGCGCGCCACCGACGCTGCTCAGCACGACGAACGCCACCGCGTATTGGAATCCGCTGTCTTCCGGGTGGTATATGTCCGCGATGACACCGAGGGTGACGGATCCTCCAGCCGTGCTCAGGCCGCCAAGGATGCGGCCCGTCAGGACACCGCCGAAGGTTGGGCTGAGGGCGCAGAGAATCTGCCACATGTTGACCAGGAAGAGCGAGAGCTGCTGGGTCGGCCATCTTCCAATCTCCTCGGACCAGGGAGCCCACAACTCGCAACCGAAGGCATAAGCAATCAGGAACATCGACTGCCCCAGACGCGATTTTGTCTGCGAAATGTCGTATCTGTCCGCGATGCCTTCCATGGCCCACCCGTACATCGAGGCATTCGAGTTAATCGAAATCTGGATGCACAGGATGGTGATAAGGATCATCACTTTCTTCCACTTAGGAAAGGCGTAGCCAAGCTGGCTCGCGGCGTCGTCTTCCGTGAGTTCGACTTTGCCATCTTCCCGTTCGGGCCGTTGGTTCTCGCCACCTTGGGCTGCGAGCTCATGTCCCGGAAGTCCCAAAGCTTCATGTTTCTGCTGCCCCTGACGGGCCGAAGTCCGAGAGGTGCGACGGCACCATGATCCGATGTTGAAGAGATGTGACATCGCGGATCAGAACTTTGTGTCAACTGCCGAGAATGTTTCTCATAGTAGACAAGCGAGACTTGAAGAAAAACAAGATTAAAAATGGATTGAAGATGAGATAGAATCAAGATGACGATGCACGGAAAGTCGAACAAATCAGACGAGATCGAGCCTTTTTTGTTTTTTAGGCTTTGATCCGCAGTTTCCCGTAAACATACTACCTTTGGAGTGTCATTAAGAGGGTCCGACTTCAATGCATACAGTGGTGGGCTATGGTCGTCCAAAAAGGCCATCATAACCCTACGGGCAAAGGCGGACCTGCTTCAAGGCGTCATATTTTGAGTAGTACATCGTAACGATGGATTGGGGACGGAAAGGTGGTGCGCATCGATCTCACGATGCAAGCCTCATGGTGAGTTTCTCCTTTTGAGAGTGAGGTCATACTTCTATGGATACGTCATACCCCGGATCCCTCCACGCTCTGTCCGTGAGCGACATGAAGAGAATACCAACACTCCGTGGGGACAACGAAGAATGCGACGATGGCAGACGAGACTTGAGACCATTGGGAAGTGTTTGGGCTAGATTGCTACCGCTGTGGGCGTGACTTGTGGTGTCACTTCATGGTTCCCCAAGCGTGAGAACATGTCATCGTGACGTCTTGAGTGGTGCATAGGAAAGAACTCCAAATTGGATCGCACTTCGTCAATTACTCCATCGGAGCAATTGTGATCGTTATACGTCCCAGAGGGGAGAGAGGTGTATGGGCACTTGGGAGAACCAGTATACTACTCGAAGTTAGAAAGCAATAATGTAGTATATCTCATAGTGGCCTGAATCTTAAATGTGCAAACATGTCTGATATATCGTTAGGCATTATAATTGAAAAGGGACGCAAAGTTATCAGTTTCTCTTAGCTCCAAAGCCAAGTTAGACGACAAGTCTCACGACCATGCCGGGAGACGGCGGATATTTGAAGGCGGTCAGCCCGACATCACGCCGCAGTTCAATTTCGGGAAACAACTTAAGAAAGAAAAATCAACAAAACCAAACAGAAATTGCAGTACCGCACAGGGAATCCAATAAGAAATGTTTCAGAAATGGCAAGCTCCGCAGTGTGCCAACAAACGAAGGGTCGAGGCCGACAATTTGTCTCGTGATTGTCCAGTTTGAAAGACCCTCTCTTCAGAGAGGGGGGAACAGAGCTGAGGAATGCGGAGTGAAATCTCCAAAGGACCACAATTTACCCCATGGAGGGGCCAGAGTTCGTATGATATCAGGCGATGCCTTCACATCGTCAGCATTTTGCGCTTGGTCGCGTTCTAGATCGCGACGTGACTCACCTGCGTGAATCGTATAGTGAGCCGCATCCTGCGGCTTGGCCTCCGATAATCACTGATCGCAGGACGAATGGCCGCGGGGTTTAGTCAGGTACTTGACCGGCGCCACCAATGGGGATTATAGGCTGGTTCACTGCGTTGAAGTTCGCGAAGAGGCGAGAGTGATAGCTATGATGCACCTCGCCAAACTCGAACACCTTGACATTGTGTTCCACGGTGAATATCTTGTTGTAGTTAATCCGTGATATCTTGTCCAATTTGTCACTGCGAGTTCTAGCAGTTACGCGAATTGGTTTTCTCATCGGCTCTTCGCCTCTGACAGCGTTCTCGCCGGGTAAAGGGGAAGGTGGCACTTCTCCAGTATGGATAATTGCATGATCGCTCTTTCTCGTTCCCCATTTCGTAAGTCCTCGTCTTTCATATGTCTGGATAGGCCTGTGATATTGATGAGCACTCCAATTGGTATCGGGTTAGTTGGCTGAGGGGCACTGACAAACATTGGCAGGATCGGTACCCTTCACGGATAACAGTGAAATACCGGATCTTTTGATACGGGGTGTGACCCGTCCCCGTAACCGTGGAGGCTGGTCCCGACTCCTTTGAAGTATCCGGCTCAGACCACAAGACCTTGAACACCTTGACTGCAAGGTCAATTGATGCCGAAATTACCATGAAGAGGAGCTCAAATACCTTGCCGGGGACAAAGAAGCTGGAATTCCGGACTCTGAACCCTGCTTAAAGTCAGATAAAGATAGGAATAGAATTACCGAGTACTGCGTACGGTTATCCGAATTTTCATATTCTCCTAATGTTCCTCTTACGACTCGCTCTTGACCTGAACTGCGTGTTTGTTGAGGGGACCGGGAATTGCTGGATTCTGCACCACTAAGTGGAAAGACACTGGATGTAGGCGAGGTCGTCGCTCGTGCCGCGGTAAAGGTTGGATGAATTTCTGGGGATTGATGTTAGTGGAAGTCCCATGTTTAACACAGGTATCTGATGAAGCTTCAGCGTACGCTCTGCAGTGCCACTATCAACCCTGCCATGAGCTTGAGGCGTCATCTCGCTCCCCTCTTCCTCTCCCTCATCCTCCTCACTCTCCTCCTCATCCTCATCATTGCTTCTTATCCGCAGCCAATAGCGGTATTCTTCCGAGTACTCGTACCGCTCATTTGGCTCTTTGGGATATCGTGTACCGTCGGGCGCAGCAAACATTCCTTCTTCGGCCATCCAATACACGAAAACCCCCAGGACGCCGTCCCAGATTGCCTGCGGGGGTTCAGCCATTCCCCTTGAATGTTCATACCGTGGTCCAGCAGCGTGCTGCGTAAACAGACACGTCAGTTCACCTGCTTATGTACTACATAGTAGTTGCGGCTCTGCGCATCCCCCCCATCAATGAGGGGACGACAAGAAGATTATCCATCACATTTCCGTTCCGATGAGACTAGGATCTAGGAGGTTTGACACCTAAAGTAATGAGGTGCATATGTCCATGTGACACTCATTGGAGCTGGGGGAGCAGGGAAGCCGGGGAAACGCGAGTGGCATGGCCTGTCGTGCAGCTACCCGCAGGGTCTTCTATGGTCGCGTCAAATGGATGTCGCATGAGAGTGCTTGAAGGATGAGCCCAGGGCTAGGGAATAATATGCGGAATGACTCTCTACCGTTCGATAATGGAGGGTAGAAGTCAGACTCGTCTGCGACTCTGCGTAATTCTCCTCAAGTCGCAGAAGCATCCCATCCGGCATTTCCCCCATGCAGAGTAGCCAATCGGACTGATGGAGGGTTGGTTGTCTCGTAAGTGTGTGTGACTGTGACGACGTGGAAATTAGCAAAATACCACAGGTAACGGATATTGGTTATTACCTATCATATTAGTAGGAACTATGGAATAAGAAATACCTAACTAGTTAAGGCAACTTTGACTTGCCAGGTGGATGGTAAGCTACTGTACGGCCCGTTACAGAGGGACTCTCCCGCTGCAGAAGCCTTTTTCGCCCCGCACGCCACCACGAGTGATCTGAGTGATGACTTGAGTAATGAGTGGTAAGTGATGACTGCCGAATCAACGACATCCAACAAAGCCCGGGTCGGTTGGTCACCTGTGGACATTGAGAGCGCCAGAAAAAGCACGTTTGTCTCTCCACCGCAAGGGGGTCCTGTGAGTCCCAACTGGATGGCCACCACCCACCGGCCAACAAGCAAGGCGACCAGAACAGTCCAGTGCGGCTCAAATCCCCTTCGTAGCCCGCTCGTGTAAGACCTTTTGCTCGCCCTTGTTAAGATTTAACAGGGCGAGACCAAAAAACCAGCAGCCTAACAATAACTCCTTTTTCGTTCTCCTACCTAATATCATGTCGTGGCTAAAGCGTCCGCCGCGGTATGTCCACTTACATGCAGTCTTTTGTTAGGCGTGCAATACTATTTTCTGATGGTCCTCTTCTTTTTTGAATGCCAGATATATGATGATGGCTGAGGCTCCCTGGAAGAAACTCGATGGAAATGTAGGGCAGACTTATTTGTCCGAGCCGCAACGGTGAAACCAAGCGTGCGTGGTCTTCTCTGTTCACGAGAGTCTAACAAGCGCAGGAGAAAAATATCATCGATATCAGCGAAGTCGATGGGTCCACAGATTATTCAAGACCGATCCTATACTTCATTACACAATCCGAGGACACCAAGAGACGATCTGGCCTTTGCAGGGCAAGGCAGTGCACCACCCTCGCCTCTATATTCGAGTGCAGATCATGCGCACGATACCTTCCCACAACCTCCCGCGAGAGCAGAGATTATTGCCGGCAATATGTCATCTCCGGAGGGGCCACATCCGACCGGCGAACTCCACGAAAATTGGCTCGGAAACAAGTTGACCGCGTCGCAACGCAGATCCATCCTACAGAAGCACGGCAACGTGGCCAACCTCATCCAAAATGTGCTGGGGTTCCGGGTGGAAGTGGACACCCAATATGCCGTCCTCGGCGGATACAGGAAAAGTGCTATAGAAGCATTTGCACGACTTCACGCGGCGCAAAAACGCGTGTATTCGGAAGGCGGGTTCAAGGCGGAGAAGAAGAACCTCGATCGGATGTTTCAGCAGGCGGACGAAGAATACAAAGTCCTGCAGATGATGGAGGAGAAGCAGCTTCAACGCGTCGAAGAGCTAGGTCGCATCGAATTCAAGCTGTCGGAGCGCGAACGCGCCGCTCAGAATCTTCTGGAAGGGCTTCTTGCCGCCGAGGACGACTACGCACTAATCTCATCCATTCTACTAAACGACGACAACTCCAATAAATCCGACCTAACGGAGTACGCCGAACCCGACCCGCAGTTGGTCCTTGACTTCTACGATCGATCCGGTGATATTGGCATCTATCGAGATCGGCTGCATAACCTCGACTACGAGCATCTCCGCGAAAAGGGGTTACGACACGCTCGGAGCAGCCGTGGTGAGCCGGTCGACCCTCTCGATGATCTATTCTTCGAGGAATATTTCCGCGACAGGAGAGAGATAGTGCTGGATCTCACGCAAGCAAGAGCGGACGCCCGCATTTTGAAGCAGCAGTGCAAAGAGAGAGGGTACCAGTTAGACGGGGGGTCGAGCGTGTCCGAGGGATCCAGTCCGCTGGATCAGTCGAGGCGGGACCATGGGCCTCAACGGTATAAATATGCCATGTTCCACGATGGACCGTACAGCGGAGTGTACCCTCTAGAAGCCCTATTATTCGGCCCTGTCAACAAGCAAAAGATCATCGAAGCTTGGCTGCGTGGTGTCCGCGTATCCGCTCGACCTCAGGCCCTTCGACATCACATCCGACGTAGTACCTCCCCTCGCGAGAACTCGGGAACCGACCTACGGAAAGTCGAGTCGGCGGAGGACGATCGATTGGACTCGAAGTCAGATATGGATGCGATCCGTGACGCGGTCGATCGAGTGTCGGCGGCGGAGAAGAAGAGTTGGCCGCAACCGGCGGGTCAAATGGCCTGGCAACCGGAAGCAATCAAGCATCGGTACTCATTTGGAAGCCTACCCAGCCTTGAGAACCAAGTAGAGGAAGGGAGGAGGAAGAAATTTTCTAAGTCGTTGTCGTCTGTTATAGGGCCAGAGAATCGGCACAAGAATGTTTATCAGTACTCATCCTAAGAGCAGGAGTTCACTTGATATGGCGTTCTATCATTCGGTTGTGGAGATTTAGCAGTGGCGCTTATGGCTTGGACAGGTTGGATTAGACGTCATTGTTATTTTGTAAGATTGAAAGAAGGCTTGCGTCGTCGAAGCACCATTATGGTCTCTGATTCTGTGATTCTTATTCTTCTCACTGCTGCACCGCTGTCCCAAACCCAGAAGCTCGTGCAAGTTCAGAAACCTGGTGCTGAAACGATTTGATATCCCACACCCCCAGCCCCCTAAAGTCCTGCTGATGTACACTCATGTCTCTAATCTTCATACACAATATGTGAATTCAGTCTTGCAGTAGGCTGTTAACTCTCACCAGGATCGATTTCTTGACTTCGCACCTGTTTGTAAGCTCACCCTCCCGTCAGTTGAGAGTCCGAAACCACCAGTGGTAAAAGAAATTGTTCTTCCTATCCTTCGGTTGCGTGAACTGTTGAGCGGGTTTATGTCGACGGCGCCACCAGTGAGAGATCCCTAGGATCTGGGAAATATAAAACTCTTTAGCGTCATCTAAAACCGGCAACAGATCTCCCAATACAGGCACATCCCAAGAGAGTACTCACAAAGTCATAGGTGTTGCATGTGTGACTGCATATACGAAAATCAGCAGCGCTGCGTACGGATACTGCAGTCCAAACCCCCAGATACATATTAGAATTGCGGCCAACTCCAGGATATTGCTCTTTAACCTGTCCTTGACTTTCAAAATCGAAACCAACCAGACCAAACAGGCGATTGTCGTGATAATTGTGGCAGTGGCACCGAAGGCCCAAGCAGTCAAGCTCCTTTTTCTATCTCCTTCACGTTCATACCGAATATTGATGCGCTGAAAGTAAGCGGAATGAACACGGATGCAAAGCTAGATCAGACGCTTGACACTGCCAGGGACCTCTAATAATATTGACTTCGGGATTCGACATACGTCTCGTAATGGGGCAATGCGGAAGATGATAGCATCGCGTCTTCTTGGACTTCAAGTTCTTGTTCTTGAAGTGACATGGAAATCTCTGGAAGCAAGGAAAGGTAGAGATATATTTCACTGGTTTCAACAGTTAGAAATGCTACACCCGCGGTGGTGCGACCATAAATTTCGCGATCGAAACCATTGTACTCGCCAGTAACAAATCCAGTAGTTATTACAGTGTAATAATATCCTGGACAATCTCCCGTACCACGGGGCGGATGCATCCTGTGGATAAACACGTCAACACGTTTGCAGTGCACACAGGAGAATCGAAAATTGACAAGAAGTCCACAGACTCACACGGCGGCTAGATGCAAACGATAACCTTCAAATTTCGACCTTCCGGTCTACAGGCTCTAGGATATGCGTACAAATGGACCTCGCGTATTTTCTCGTCTTTCCCTTCGTGATCTATCCCGCGACCCCTGGAATCAAACTCTTACCCTTGATACTCTTCCACTCGAACATTAAGCTGCTCAGAAACGCCAAGCCGCCCGTTGCGATCGGCAGGATGTAAGAAGTGGTGATGGCCTTATTGTACGCGACCAGGACCTGATCCAGCAGCTGGGGGGCGAATGAATTGACGATTTGTCGTACATTTGTCGCGCCTACGTCGAACAGGATCCGCGGATCCACGCCGGGCGCGAATCGAGGAACTTCTTTGAGGAGAGAGTTCAGGAAGATGTTTTGGGCGATGGAAATGGAAATCGCTCCACCCAAGCTGTTGAAGAAGATCGCGGTTGCATCTGTAGAAATATGAGCGACGGATAGGGGGAGGAGAGAGGGCATTGTTCACTTACTGCCAATGGGCATGTCCTTTAGCGGAAGAACGACTTGAACAGCGATAAAGGGGATCTGGACTGCTGCACCAGCACCGGCACCGGCCAGTATTTGGTACCCAATCCAGATCCCCGCTGGAGAATCCACTTTGAGAGTGAACAATAATCCGGAACCGATCGTGAATACTATAACATATTAAATAACGCATTGTGGATTATCCAGAGGCCAAGAAAACGTACGCGCTGTTCCCACCCATAGAAATGGGGTGTAGTAGCCGAGAATGGTCACAGCTCCGCCTACTATGATTGAAGCAATCGTGTTACTCACGAGATACGATATACATCTGATCCCGGAGTCTTCTGCGGATGTTCCCTTGATGGCCTGGAAGTAAAAAGGTAGGTAGTATATGTGACTGCATATCATTAGTTCCTAGCAAGTGTGCAAAAGGAAAACTGCACTCACGTGTATAGTCCCATCGCTAGAAAGCTTGAGAGAAGCGCAGCAGATCGGACGGTCCGCTGTTTCGCAATGATACGCGGTGGAAGGGTGCCCTCGTCGCCGAGATAGATCTGCAAAGCAATGAAGCAGCTTATGATGAGACCAAATCCAAGTAGACAGCCCCATACTCGAGAATCTTTCCAGGGATGCGTTGTCCCTCCCCACTGCAGGGCCAGTAGAAGACAAGTAATGGCAGAAATAAGGAGGACGGCACCAAGGATGTCTATTTTCTTGATCTTTTCCTTCACGGTCATATGAAGGTATTGCCGTTTTGGGTTCTGAAAGAAGAATAAAACGACTGCCACCGCCAGACCTCCAATGGGGAGGTTGATCCAGAAGCACCTAGAAAAGTTAGTTTGAGTGTCACATAGTCCACCGGGGATGGCAAAAGGGGTTGACCCACCATCTCCATGACGCTCGATCCGTCAGAACTCCGCCGAGGATGGGACCAACAACAGACGAGATACCAAACATGGCAGAAATGGTGGCGATGTAGATCGCTCGGTGCCGGAGGGCTACACTGTACGCCATGATGTTCATCCCTCCGGAAAAGATTGCGGCGGCGCCGACTCCTGCGATCGCTCTCCCGATAATGAGCATCGGGGAGTTGCGAGCAGCAGCGCATATGACGGAACCGACTACAAGCAACGATTAGCACGAGTAGCCAGTTGAGAAAATCCGAATTACCTTCGAAGATGACAATGGCAGTGATAAACGTATACTTGACGTCAAAGTACGTATAGATCTTGCCGAATGTCGGTTGCAGACTCGTCGTTGTCAGCAAGTATGAGCTGCCGTACCATCCAACATCCGGTAAGCTATTGAAGTAGGTCGTGATGGCAGGTATGGCTGTGGCGATGATCGTGTTGTCCAAAGCTATCATGAACGTCGCCGAGCAGAGTCCAGCTGTCAGCAAAATCAGGGGAAGTCCCCTCACGTATCTGCTCGTATCCTCTCGATTCGGATCGTCCTCATCTTCGGTTTGATTGACGGGGTCTCTAGAATCGCTATCTTGTTTCTCTGCATCTCCCCTTCCTGACTGTACGATGCCATTGGCACTACTATTTTGATTATCCGTAACTGCTCTATGAGTTACTGAACCTTCCGAGATTTCTTTCTCAGCGTCTCCATGCTCTTTCTTTTCTGCATCTAAATGATGTGATGGAAGAGTCGACTTTATCTCGCTGAGCGATGATGTCCCCTGTCCTGGTCCACCTTCGGCTGCTGCCGCTGGCGCCACTTTCTCCTCCATGGGGAGGGCTAGTGTTTGTTTATGATGAGACACTTGAGATCGGACAACGAACTTTTTACAACGAAAGTAAGTCTGGCATTGAGCTAGCTTACAATAGAAGAACTTGGAGATGAATCTATCTACTTATACAGCCCTGCAAACGTGTCTGTCCGAGTGAAGGATTGTACCTTGGAGCGGCGGGAGATCCATACGGATCTTTAGCGACCCGAACGCTCTCGGCACCAAGTCTTCTCATGATCTCGCCAAACGCAAGGCATCGACGCATCGTTGAACCGTCTAAGCGAGCCGTTTCCCGGGCGCTCGATCGTCAACATACTTCGCCTCCTGGGCAGCTCCACAGACAGGGAAGCGGACTCCAACCGACCTGTGCGTGATACAAATCTGGCGGATATCCTCACAAGGAGATGCAACCGAAGATCGACGTCGACCAATCACACGCACGAGTGTACGATGGGAGTACGATTCATAGCAGCCTTTCATCTCTGCGAGGCTTTTGCCAACCCGGTGATACTGGGGAGCCGCAAGGTCAACCGGGAATCGAAAAGATCGATCCATTCACGAAGGCTGCGGAACGAATTCCATACGATACATGTACAGTTTTAACATTACATCCATCCACCCGAAAAGACTATAGTCGCTGATGGCCCGATCCTTGCCTCTCCTATTCCATTGCCAGCTGTTGTCCTTCTCCTGCAGTTCACATCTTCAAGTCTCAGCAGTTCCTCCTGTTTGCGACTCTTTTTGTTGACTGCCACGACCCCTCGTCTATATCAGGTCGTTTTCTTCGATTGAAATTCATCTTTAGCAATTTATTAGTGCTCCATCTTCCAAGTCCGAAAGACCGTGAACTTACCTGAAGTCAGACTCGTCGTTTGCTCAGCGAGTCTTAGTGTTCTTCTTCCCCTTTCCCGTTCTCGCAGGCCTCTGAGTAGCCGGCGCATTTTCAATGACACACTCTCCGCAGGCATCGTCCATCGTGAGGGTCTGCCAGATCTCCCCGCCGATGCATTGTCGCTGGACCATGGCGGCCTCGGAGCAGTACGCCGCGAAGACCATGTTGGTGTGACCGCATGGATGTGTGTGTGCGTAGAACCGACACATGATGTTTGGAGAAGTAGCAATGGCTTCGAGAGAACCGGTCACGCTGGAGAGAAGATGTGGGTAAGATTCGCTGGCTGAAAACGACAAGGATGGATTGGTGAGGGAGGGAATTGGGTTCGAATGGAGACTGAAGTCACAAGGGGGGACGAATTGTAAGTAAGGACTGCGATTGCGATGATTGCGATGAGCGTGCCAACACGTTGCCGTGTCACATCCCGGTTTTATATGCCCACCATACCACTTCTCCTCTCTTTCCTCTCGAGCTCACCGTCAACCCAAGCAATCAATGGGCGCGTAACGTTGCCTTCCCGCATCCTGCTAGGAGGGACCCGGCCGTGCATCGCGAAATGATCTGCCAACAGCCTCACTGTGGCCAGATTTTCATGATGGTCCATGTGTAGGTCTGTGTGTCGAAGGGGAGCGAAGGGACTGGCGCGGCGTCTGCAGCGACGCTGATCAGTGAAGGCAAGCCCGGTTCGGGTATCGAAGTTTTGGGAGCACAAGCGTGGGCACGTCGGTTAGATGTGGTAACCGGCAGGAAAGGCAGGAAAGATGTGCCTCTTGCAGAAGAGGTGGAAAGAGGAGATATATTGATCGGGGCAATCAGTGTTACTAAAGGAAAGATATGCCTATTCAGTATACCACCATTACATCTTTTATTGAGAATATACCAAGTTTGGAGAGATAATATCAGGTTCAATAACGAAGCACCTTGAATTCGAACGTGTATCTACGCGACATCCGCGTGTAGAGCAACCACGGCACAAAGATTGAAGATTGAGTTCAAAAAACAGTGGAGTCGGATCGGACATCTCTCCTGGATCCAGGTCGGTGGGAATCGGGAAGACGCAGAGACTCGCGTGGAATAAAGCGTGGAATAGCGCTAGAAGGTCGATCACATGGGAACGAGCAGAGGCAGAGGCACGTTCAGACAACCTTCGCCATCCATTGTTTGTGACGGACAGCGAAGGGCCCTGCAAGGCGCACAAATTTTTTGATTTGCTGACGGAGGTAACCGAGCGCTTCCATCCGCGTCGCGGTTGGTTGGCTTCCCAAATCCTTCTCATAGCCCACCTCTTTCCATGATCGACATACAAACTTGGTGGGACGATGTCCTTAAAATGTACGATGCGGATAAGTCCGGCACGGTAGAGGGAGAGATATGATCCGTCGCATAAGCTTTCCGGGCCGTGTTTGTACCTCTGACGCCAGAATGTTCCGCACGTGTTTGCTTCACGGGGTGATTGGCATCAACTGAATTTCGTCCCAGCCCTTGGATTCAGGCATAATCTAAAGGCCATGTCACCAAGAAATGACGCTGTCCACCGCATGGTAGGCGAAGGTGATGGCCACGACTCGAAGCGTGATATTTGCGCCAGTACTCATCCGAAAGTGACGCGAAACTCTATTTCGCGGATCTTACACTTCGCCGTAGCTCAACGGCCGACTCCCCACCCCCCGGGGAACGCAAGAGCGCCGTGACGGGAAAGCCACGGAATTGGTGGTCGACTCGCCTTGATGCTCCGTCGTCGTGCTCGCCGATCCCATCCTTATCACCAAACCACGTGGATGGCGAATTGCTCACGCTGAACCCAGCCTAGCCCAATGCTCGTTTTCCCCGTCCGGAAAACCCAAACCCACCTCGTCCACTCCCATCGGGCCCTCGCGGTTCACGGATCGGTTGCTGTGCGTCATCGTTGGTAGGGGTTGCGGCTCCACGATCTGATGGATCCCGCCGTTGCGCGTACGCGCTGCCTGGTTTGGCCGTATAGCTTGGATCGAAAAGCTGTTTCTTTTGCGCCGTCGCGGACCTTGCTGGCGACTGCCCTGGCGACGGACGGGGGCTGTGGGAGGAGTCTCGGTCGTTGATGCCTCGCCCTCGTCCCTTTCCTCGGGGTGGGTTCCTGCTCCCGCTGTTGTTCCGCGAGTGGCGTTGGGATTTCGAGCTCTCTTGATCTTCGGCGTTGGAGCTGCTCGTCCCGAATAACCTGGCGCGAACTTCCTCGTATCGTGCGGCTTTCTCCTCGCGCTCTTTTCGAGCACGTTCCTGTCGCTCCTGGAATGACGCCACGTATTTCTTGCGGCGCTCCTCTTCGCTGTCGTCCTCGTCGTCCATGACTGTGAGAGCCCCCACGCCGGCTGCAAGGTCCGTCTTCGGGGCCGCGGCGGGCGGCTTGCGGCTGAGGACTTTGACGGCTGGTTTGAAGTCGGACTTGAAGGGGACCTTCTCCTGCGCCGCCAAGAAGAGGTCCGCTGGCTTCTCAATGGATCGTTCGGCATCACTGTAGAAGGTCAGACATGTGGCTATGCGTGTCTCGTTCTATGGCGTCCTTACGCGCTCTCCCATAATGCCCGATTCGCCTCTTGATGCTTCGCTCTGCGTTCGGCTCGGGTCAGGATCACAGGATCTCTGGCGCTAGCCGGCTTCGCTTCTTCTTTCTAAGTACTGGTGAGTATTCGACAGCAGGAGGCATGAATAGATGCACGTACATCGGCAATAGATTCCCAATCATCGTCCCATGCGCTAGACATGGCGGACTTGTTACTCATGGCGGCTAGCTGTTAGGGATATTGAACAGGTACGGAACTAAGTCGGTCTTGGGATTGATGGAGGCTTGAAGAGACATGTCGATGCGAAGGTGGATTCTAGAAAGGGGATTCCGAAGTCAATCGCCTAATATCAATCATGATGGCCAAGGTCGGGGAATGATGCTGATCTCCAATATCCAACAGGAGACCTGACACTCTCAAGGACGGAGCAGAGAAGCTAGCCAGGGACACAACAGAAATGAAAGCCTCAGGCAGTTAGGCATCAAACACACGTGCTCCAGTCACGTGTATTTGCCGTGATTTGCGGGGCACTCCGCCACAGTAGGGATGATATACGCCACATTTGTGGTCCAAGGCCCAAGCCGCCAAGCGTCGAGGCCTAGGCACGGACCATATCTCTCATGGCAACAGTTTGGAGACGAGATGAGATTCATGAGAGTTCATCGTTATATTCAACTCGAGAACCAAATGGCCTCTTTATAGATCCTGGCCACCAGCTAGCCTTGATATTATTATATGGCTTTATTAGGAGGACCCTCACCAATGCATGCTACATAGGAAGAGCTTGTGTGCATAACACCGTGCTGATGTCTAGTCAGTAGCTTCGTGTTGAGTGCTCGTCCACACAGTATATCACCTGCCGGTTGCGCCTTGTGCAAGTCTTCCCTTCCTATCTACCTTTAGATCTCCTTCCCAGTTCCATAGACACGATCTCGTCCATACCCATAATCCCGGCATATCAATTTGCCCTGTACTGGAAATTCCATCCCAGCGCGCTTCTTCATCGTAGCCAAACGGTACCACAGGTCTAATCCGCAGCCATCTACAGGCAAACCTTTCGGTATGCACAAACCGTCTCCAATATCCAACACAACCGACACGGGCATCCCGCCGCCTTCTTTCCCTCAAGTCACCCCTTCCACCCCTCCTCGTCCCGGTTTATCGGCCGCAGCTCCAGACCCATCCGACCTCACCCCTCCCACCTCGCTCGGCCCCAGCTCACACCCTCCCTCAGCGTCCACATCCTCCCTCACCATCGGCCTGAAGAACGCGAACGGCAAGAGAACCCATTCCCGCACCGACCTCGACATCATGGGCCCCCCCGCCGAGCCACCCGGGCCGTCCACTTCCATCTCCACCCCTGCTCCCACCTCCGCGTCCGCGCAAACCGGGACCAAGCGCGCGCACCCGGACTTCGCCGCTATCCACGGACATCGCCTTTCTACATCCTTGGATTTTCGCCCTAGTACGCCGAATCACGCGGGCATCGTGCCAGAGGGGAATACCTTTGTGCACAAGCCCAGCGGCTACGTCTGGCCGGCCGAGGGGTACGAGGAGTCGCCGGGATATAGCTGGACGAATGAGAAGGCGTTGGAGGAATATGCGCGGGCGATGGACTCGCTCGTGCATGTGGAGATGATCGAGGGTTAGTCAATTCCGGCATTGATGCGAAAGATCGATGTTAATAACCGCGTAGCTCGATTCGGTGACCCGCTGTTGGCGAAGCGACGGAAGGAGAAACAGCTGCAACAGCCGCAGCAGGCGGATGAGGCTATGAAATGACAGATTCCTCAATCAACACCAAGAGAGACAAGGGTTGCTGAGCCAGGAGATGATCGATTGACCGCGTCGGGTGGGCTGATGTACTTTCTTGGGAGGCGGAAGTCTCGTGCTCTACTACAGTTGCTACGGACCGAATACCATCAATCTATTACTGAGGGGAGCTGCTGCAGAGAGAAAAGTATTTCGGCAAAACTATATACTCTGAAATACACAGCTTTAACGCATTCGCAATTGAAGTCGTCTAGCCAACCCAATCACCGTCATGACATCGTATCCCGTAACGCCACGCAAATGCTCCTCAGAAAGGCGATCTCCAACCCCTCTATATCGCATCGCTATCATCCCCATCATCCAGCACGTCGTCATCCTCTTCCTTCCCTTTCTCCATCTCCTCCACCAGATCCTCCCCATCCATCGTCGTCTCCCCCTGCTCCTCCTCCTCCTCCTCCTCCTCCTCCACCTCATCATGCTCCAACTCCTCCCCCTCCCCCTCCCCCTCCTCCGCCA